TTACAGTTAAGTGCTCTGACAAGTTTCCGTGCGGTGGACTTGAACAAAGCAGATCCCCGTGTGAGACGTTGTGTAGCGTGTCAGATGGTGTGTTATGTTAATTGATATTAATTGATTAATTGATATAATTGATTTTTATTTTCACTATTCAACTCATTTGCTTTCAACACACTGTTACATTGAAGACCCGTAAAGACTGAAAAATGGGGTCAAAATTAGTTTAGAATTTTTTTTAATCAATTTCTCTCTTTTTATTGTGATATTAGAATTTGGCTCAAATAAAACAAACATATTATAAGTAACTATATATGAGATATAATCCTTTTAAATGACTTACTTTACAAGTAGACATCCAACCAATGTTCCTTTTAAACAAGGCAATTGATCGTTGGATGTGAAGCTCTGGTGAGTTGGACGGGAGAATCTGATGACATGGAGTCACATGGTGACAGAATAATTAGGCAGAACTGCTAATGAGGTATGATATTTATTCTTGACCTTGGAAACAGCAGTGGAACAAGGAACAAAGGAACAAAAGAGCTCACACGGTTTAGCAGATGTCTCTTCTTTAACTTAAGGCTGAGGTTCTGCCTTCAAGTTTGCATTTAACATCCAAGTGATTATCTGTAAGTCGTTGAAATAAATGTGAGATAACTTAAAAATGTTAGAATGTAACAATGCAAAACAATAAAATGAATATCAAAGAAGAATAGTCGGTCCTTAAAAGTGCGTTCAGTAGTGGAATACTTTCGCTTAAGTAAATGTACATTTTACAACTATGTCAAAATTTGAGAAGAAGAAAGTACAACGTTCAAACACGTGGAAAAAAGTTGAATCAAATCAAAATACTTTTAATTGCCTTCAAAGTAAAATAAAGGTTAGAACTGCAAAGAACAAACATGGAAACCTTGATATATTATTCTGAAAAAAAACATTTGGTAATTTAACTGGTCCCATCTAAGGTTATGAAGCTCTCAAATGAATATAGTGAAGTAGAATGCAAAATACTTCCCTTAGAAATATAGTTGGGTAGAAGTACAACGCGTCATGACAAACACTCAAGTGAGACATATTAAACACATCACATACGTAAGTATACTTGGTTATATTCCACCACTGTGAACTAACCAGACTCCATATGCTGATGAAGTGGTGATGTTCTCTTTTACTACATCAGTATGCATCTCACTTATAATAATGAATAATAATTGTGATGCTAAATGCAGACAAAAAATAAGTACTTTGCCCAAGTAGAAACATCACAAATAAATATATGTTTTTGTTATCTGCTGTCAATAATGAATAACATACCTCAATAACAGATCAGTCTAATTTTCTCATCATCTGACAATCTGTCAGATATGATTACAAACGTAATCATAGAGGTTCACATCAAGCGATTGAATGTCAGCACTTCACAGCCATATCGCGGACCAACAACATTGTCTGTATTGTGCACCCATTTCCACCTGCATGTAAGTTTAAACATTTCAGAAAACATTTAACATGCATCATGCATGTTCAGAGAACAAATGAGTGCAGATGAGACCAACAGCAGATAATTTGGGCCAAACTAATTACAGGGGGGGGGGGGTTCTTTTCATAGCCAGAACAGACCAACAAAATACATGTTTGCAAAAGAGAGATCAGCACCAGGAACAAATCCTCCCAGAAACAGCAATAGAACCTCATAGACCACAAAGTGACGACTTTCTCCAGCTTTTTCCGGCCTGGAAATGAGCCGCGGCCTGTTGGGCGCGGGTCGTAGGCCGGCACCTTGTTTCCTGACGGTCTTCGTGGCTCGGAGTAATAACGAGGCAGGAGCACAGAGCGTGGCAACAAAAACAGGGCAGTTCCAGCGGAGGCCCTCTGCATCGACGTGACCCCCCCTCCCCCCCGACCCCGCGGATGATCATTTCTGTGTGACCCCGTGTCCCCTGTCCGTCAAAATGATTTTGGAGAGAAAGGAAAAAACCTCCAGCACTCGCATTCCAAAAGCTGACATTCGGGAGGCTGACTTTGTCTATGGTAATGGGGGGGAAATGGAAATAACAGAAAACAATTATACCCTTGCATGGCTCCAGCCTTCACCTGATGAGAGCGCTCATCTTCAGCCATGTTTTTCTCCGTCTCCCTCTGAAATATTCATAATGCAAAGACGGGGTCTCGAAGCATGCAGCGTGCTGTACTCGCGAGCTGAAACCATGGGTGAACTTGAAAAAAAAAAAAAAAAAAGCTCATCCGTTGTTGCATTGCTTCTGTCTAAAAGGCACCCAGTACACCTGCCAGCTGGAAATACCACACTGATTTGCATTTTTATTTGATTTTAATATATTCTTCGGAGGTGATGATTTCCAAATATAGAGTATCCCGATTCTTTGCCCTGGTTGCTAGCAACGAGCATTGCAAGTTAATTCTGTTGCGTGGAGTGTTTTTAATAGATCAAAGAGGAAATCTAGGGCTGTCTTATGCAATTAAGGAGATGCATTAAGAAGAACAAACCCCTGTGGGCTGTTGTTTTCAAATGATGCCCCACTGCTTCCACTGGTACATCACGATTAAAGTTGTGCAGACATGCCCTTTCGTTGAGTGCATCAGACAGGAGGCAACATTCTCCCAGACCAGATACAACTTCTGGATATTTTTCAGTTAAACCAAAGGCTGTTGATGTTTTCTGAAATGCAGAGCCAGAAGTCATCATAACCCCCGAAAAAAAACTCGACAGACTTGGCAAGATGCAGGAAATAGACACTCTCTCTTCATTCTTCTGCTCCCGTATGGAAATGTGGCTCTCAATTGTATAACACTTGTCTAATCAACACCATGACCCTATTTCTGTTTATTATTTGTAACGTAAGATTTATTTTTAAAGCAGATTTACAACCAGGCACAGCACATATTCACCTTAGAGAAACACATAAATGCACAATGGACTACAGCCAAGTTGATTCTGACTTCTCTTAAAGCATTTATGGACATAGTTTAAAATAATGCGATCCGGTAGAAATCAACAGTGAGTCGGGCCCATTGATTGACTTCTTTACAGTAGATACAAATGTGTTCGAAATATTTAGGACAATGCGACTATAAAAAATGTTTCTTTATTAAATCAGGGGTCTTCAACGTTTTTTCAGGCCAAGGACCCCCAATCTGATGGCGGGATGGAGCAGGGAGCTCCTAGTTTGGTCGGCCATCTTTCATTTTTGAGCTTTGCGCGCTTTAGACGTGAGGAATAAAGTGCCTGTGCTGTCGTATTTGCATGAAAGCAGCTGTGAATGAACCGGTTCCCAGCCTGAGAGCTCCTGGGGGAAGCTGAATGTGTTGCGGACTGATAGATAACATCTTCTCCATCAATTTATCCGTTCGCTACAATATAGATTCATGCTAATGTGTATTTAAAGACAATAAATACAATTCTGATTCTGAAGATAAAAAAAAACAAAAAAAACTCACCGGCCTGACAAACCCAAATATTAGCACGCAGTGAAGGGACGAATGCAAACCTACACATATACGACACATTTCTCCAACCCACATCTCATTGTTAAACATTTCTTGAAATCACTTTGCAGGCAGAATATCGGTTTCTGCCCCCCTCACTCCCCCTTCCCCCCTCTCTGCTTTTTCCCTCTGCAACCTCCTTGATCTTGTGTCGTGCTGACTGGTGTAATTTTCCGATGGCCCTCTGCTGCTCTGCTCTCGTATGTGGAGAGTGTGAGCTCAGTGGGTGGGAGAGGCCAGTGGTTGAGGCGGGTCGAGCCCGTGCGGTCCGGTCCTCTCAGCCTTCGGGGCAAAGTCAGCGGCTCGGTGATAATTGCATGGTTGAAACAGTGTTCATATTCATGATAACCCTGAAGCACGCCTCAAATAGATGTGTTTTTTTTTTCCTGCCTGCTCTCACACGTCTCTTGATTAATTCAACGAGCTGCCGGGGTCTCGCTCGCTCAAAGAGTGTAAGGCACAATTATTATTGTTTACAGAACACTCATGTTTCACAGTTATTTTTGATTAATCATGAGATAAATACTCACAAAAGTATTGTAGAATACATTTATATTGTAGAAGAGAAGGAAGTATGCAGATTATTTACTTCAGTAAAAGGTAATCATATTGGATTGTAAAAATAAGTGTTAAATACAACATTCTATACACAATACGTATGTGAAACAGGACAAAGGACGTTCGGCTTTTAATAACAAAAACTGTGAAGCCACTGGTTAATCTTTTAAAATGCATTTTATCAAGGTATCGTTTAGATTTTCTTCCTAAAAGCGACTGCTATTGTTGGAAACATTCAACAAGTTCAATCCTGCCTCTCACATTTACATTCCCAAACTAATAACCTCTCCAGTTTCATGTCAAGCTAAATGAATTTGTTGAAAATGTTGCAAAGTTTGAAACAAAACAGAACTGTACTAAAGTGCTTTGTTGGGCACTTTGTTGGGTTTAGTAAAAAACATCATGGTTGGGAATAAAATTTAAATTTAAAATGGAAAGACAAAAACCCAACATAAGTACTTGCTTACAGAAATAGCATTCTCCTTTGATAAAACATTTTCTTTTATCCATTGCAAATGCATTTGTAATACAACTAATGCAGACGTGAAATACGTTCTCGTTATTTTCGAAGATAATTTTCAGAGGGAGTGCTGAAGAATTCACAAGAAAGAAATGAATCTTCAAGTTACTTTTTCAAGTAAGGTTTTGGTTTTAAACTTGATAATGTCCTCAAATATATTGTTTAACATATTCAGCATTCAATGAAATGGAATAAATTCCAAATCGCTAATGATTTTCTCACAATCGATTTAACAGTATAAAGTGAAAAAGCCTAAAATAGAAATGCCCGAGTGCAGTACGAGCACCTCAAAGTGGCACTGATGTTTGGCCACAAATATCCGCACGGCGTGCAGTTCAGTCGATCTCAGAAAGCCGTCTGATCCCCACGGAGATGCTGATAAAATGCAGTTTGTCGTCTGTTTCTTTCTTTTCCTCACCAGAGGGGGGCACGTGTGAAGTAATCGCAGCTCACCGATGCTGTAATAAGAACCGCATCGAGGAGCGCTCTCAGACGGTCAAGTGTTCTTGTCTGCCGGGGAAGGTCGCCGGAACCACCAGGAACAGACCTTCATGCGTGGACGGTGAGTACTGTAGCATATGAGGGAAGAAATGCACGAGAGGGTTTCACTAGAATGTTGTCCAGAGGTGGCACAAGAAAATTGGTTTCTTATCACACCTTGTATACAAAAAGGTAAAATCCTGACAAACGTGCCTCGTACATTTTTTTGAAAAGTACTACTCAAATAAAAGCACAAGTCTCCCACGTAATGCCGTGTCCCCGATAAGATTAATATTTCCCCGGATAATGTCACAACCGGATACGGTGGCTGACAGACAGCACGAGGTATCTGCACCGGTACGCTTTTACGACAACAGTCACACGCAGAATGGAGCGCACCTCCGGGAGGAGCATCGAGGCGAAGAGTAAAAAAAACAACAAAGAGATGCAGAGGACAGCGGCGGTTGATTACATAGGAACTGTATCTTGTGATGGTTTCACACATGTTTTGACAAATGTGTCCGATACACAAACTCGATCCGCTGCAATTGATTTAGTGCCGAGGTCTGAACACACAACTCAAACACATTTTGGCTTTAGAAAACCTCTCACCTGCAGCTTTTATCTTAAATCCTTCTGCAAATATGACTGAAATCTCTGAGCGGTCAGGGGGAACGGCGGGTCGCTGGATGACAGCTCCGACAGATCCCTTTCCCTTTGCCACACATTACAAACCATTTACTGTCTACTTACCCTATATTTAAAGCAATTTTCTCTCCTGACAGCAGAAATGTGGCATGCATTGAAGTCAAGTCACATCCACCGATCCACTCAATCTGTGAAAGGCCCGAGTTCCACCCATCGCATTCACGTAGCCCGTGACTGCATCTAATAAGGAAAACGAACCGTAATAGTTTTGGCCGGTAGCAAGTTGTCAAAAGCACACACACACACACACACACACACACACAGAGCCAAGTGTCTTACGGCCACCTTTGACGTCCGGGACTGGACAACCGTGCCCAGCGGCCGTCTATCTGCAAATTGCGGCGTTGTGCAGTCTGGTTTTAGGGGCGAAAGGTACCTGCATCAACATTTCCCTTGTCTTCGTTGCCCATAGCGTCCATAGTAATTGGGAAGTGGTGGTGTGAGATGGAGCCTTGCCTGGAGGGGGAAGAATGCAAGACGCTCCCCGACAACTCGGGCTGGATGTGTTACGCCGGCAACAAGATCAAAACCACAAGGGTGAGATAAACTCTCTTGACCTCGGGGGGGGGGGGGTAGTAGTAGTAGCGAGGCAGTGGGAGAGAAATGTGAGGTGCTGCGTCACCCGGCGCAGAATGGTTAGCGTGATTATGTTTCACAGCAAAATTATATGTTAACAACTCGGTAAAACCCTCAATTTCCTTCTTCTTCTTTGTCAGAACACTCAGCCATACACAACGTCAACATATTAACACTTTGAGGAAAGGACGCAAGGGAACGCCTCTGGTTGGAAGGTTAATCTGCAGGTCAGCCTCTTCATTTCTACTGGGACGCTGGCATGCTTATTAATTCCTCGCAGCCGTCTTAATTGCTGAGCTTTGTGGATTGACGATCCTTTTTTTGTGATATTCACATCACCCTAAATGCGCCTATCCTTCTTCTTTCAGCACTGTCACAGGACCGATTATCCCGAAGACAAAGAACCTTTTGTTGCTTTGAGAACACTCTTCAGATTAAAGTGTACAAAGATGTAGAATACATAAAGCACATCCTGCACAAGGCCACTAAAAGTACTGATGCTCCAAGATGCCTGCGGGGGGAACTTCATCATAACCTTGTAATGAATATATTTTCATCATTTCTTTCCAACTTTGAGATGGAATGTGAATGTCTGTGCATTTGAATTAGCATCTGGGGAGCTTTAGCGTCCCTCCTCAGACATCAGTGGGACAGATGTTCACTACGAAGGAGACAAGAATACATCGAAAGGACACGAGAACAGTACAGTAGTTGACAGCCCTCAGGTTTTTCTTTTTTCTACATATAAATATTGTAGGAGGAAAAATAATGTACAGAAGTGTTAGTGTCATTTTCTTGTGTACATTAACTTCATTCATGGTGGTGTGGAGAAGCAATCATTGCAGTCCCTGAATGCAGTCTTGACCGTCCCTCTTGTTACCCACAAAACCCAACGCGGCCAAATTCTTTCTGAGTTCCATGATGTGAAGATAAAACAGATCAATTGTGAGGAAGAAGTTTTTTTGCAAATACAGCTTGTGTGTCGTGATATTTTGCATTTTACCTTTTGATCACCTCTTAAATTGCTTTACCAGTCAAACCTGGTATTGTGTCAGCTACCCTGAAACGGATTGATTCACCAAAAGCGTGATCCCAGTAGGTTGTTTTCGATACTTGAAATGCCTTATTTGTGTTAAATCATTCGATGATGATATTGTAAATATGATCGATATGTGCTGAAATTTCATTAAAGTCACTGTTCCTGTAACGAATGTGAATGCATCCTTGCCACTGCGCTCACCACATACACCTTGATGTAGCCAAACTATAATGGAAACTAGGTGATCTTAGGCACATAAAAACAAGTGGAAATAGCCAGCCTGGCTCTTCGTCAACGGGAGTTACTCTTGTTTTTTTGGACACCGATATTAAGCCGTGAACACTTATGTAAATAGATGAATAGGTATTGGGACTCGCTGTTATGTTTACAACACTTTGATGCAGCATCACAGTGGGATGCTGCCCATTGCTTTCACAGCCTCTGCCCCTTGGTAAATTATTCCTGGAGGAACTCCGGGTGACTGCTGGCGCTGTGTGTCATCCATCTTCCGGAGAAATGATTCCAGAAGGGAAAAAGTTTATTTCTGGATCTAAAGCTCGTTTTGTTGTTTTTCAGTGTCCACTTACTGCGCATATATATTAGGCTGTGCATAAAAGCACTGTCTGTCTGTTCATTCCAATGCACCATTTCTCCCATGCGCGAGATACAAATATTATATGAGAATAATATAATACTCTATTATTGTTTTGTTTTTCCTGAAACAATATGATATTTGGTATCTTTCATTTCATCATCTTGTTGTGTTCACTCAAATAAAATGGTGATTGATTTGGTAGAATTCAACAATGACAGCTTCCATGAGTCTGTCAAAACCCCGGTTCCTATTTTAGGACAATATTACACATTGAGTGATTCAAAACGCAATTTCTGAACTTGTTTTCAAGAATGCGTCTTCATAAGCATGTTCGAAATCTCGCCAATTTCACCTTTCTGCGTCAAAAGTTAAAAGGGTGGCAAAGGTAGTATTTAAATCCAAAATGTTAAACTTATGTGGTTTGGTCATTTGTTAAAATGTGTGTACATTGCTGTTGGATGTTGGATTCAAAAGTTGGTTTTAACCAGTCAGACAAAGCTGTCTGACTTTCCCCGTACGTTTTGAGTGCTCTTGGGTTTGACAGGATCACAGGGTGCTGATGGAGTGCTCAGAACACAAATAAAAGCCCAGACCCAGCGTGAATGTCCGTTGTCAAGGAAGATATATGAGAGAAACCAACTGTACAAAAACGGAGTGCAAAAGCGGACGTGGAACAGAAGCAAACCTGGAGGTGTGGGGAGGCCGGCTAAGGATATCTGCATGACAACTGATCAGTGAGTCAACTACCACAGTTGCAGATGTGATACTTGCAGCTGTCATCCCCCCTGCATCACCGCAGAGAAAAACCGTGGAATCAGGTACGACTGTGCAAGCGATCAATAGTGAATTAGTGGACATCTGAATGGCATGTGTTCAGTGTTCCCCTGCTATGTCTCTGGCTGTATTGTGTGATTGAATGAACACAACTCATAATTGTCTTACACCCCACCCCCGCCCGTCCCTCTCCCCGTCCAGAGACTGATGGCCTGTAAGTCACTGTTAAATCCTCCCAAAAACCAGCGACGTTTTTATGCAGGCAGTCGGCTCAAAGTAGACACGCACAACATTTCGGTGGGGTCTGCGATGCAGCCAGCTGTGTTATGACAAACAACCCGTATTGTTTCTTCAGCCATAACTGGGCACCCAAAATATGCTGCAACAGAATGGGAAATCAAATGCACACTCACTCGCTTCCAGAGACGTTGCGTGGAGCACGCCGTCCATCATCCCTTGCGCTAGATGTGCAAGTTGCACGCGAATGCTGAACAAGGGTTCGGGAATACAATAAAATGCTGTTCAATTCAAACTAGAAGTAATGTTTCCTTTCCAGCACAGGAAGCTAAATGGGCATAATATTTGGAAGATGGAAGCGAGCAGCATCTAATTTTCCATCAGTCGTCAGCGCGGTTCTGCGGGCCGCCGCTTTAGGCTCTAATGTCTCACATCATGCTGCAGAACAGTGAGAAATAAGACAAAAGTGATGGTGATGTGCCCTGACTTCTTTTTATGATGCACCGGGGACGTCCTGGGAATTTAGGCTCCCTTGGGTTTGTTCAGGAGACACATTTCATTCCAAACACTCAGTCACAGACAGTGTCGTCATGCTCCATTCTCTCCACTCTGTTGCCGTCAATATCAAGGTGCAGCTTAAAGCAACAGGATATAATGATGAGGTTTAAAGTGTGAAATTACTCCTATAGAGAACAAATCCGCTCACACTGGTGATTATCTGCTTGAGAGAGGATCACCGCTCAAGATCTCTCGAGTGGTTGTGTATACGTTTAAGTGTATGGTTTTTGTGAATACTGGATCTGCACATAGAGTGTACACAAAGCATTTAGACAAGATAAAGGCCATTGGCTCCTCTTTGCAGTCGTTTTCTGCGGCATTGAGCAATCGCCAAGATTAACCAGTCTGATCACATCCCGTCACCGAGAACTGTCTTCGCTGCCGCTGCAGGATTCTCAGGTTTTAAAGTCAAGGTAATGTCGACCAAACTGGATTCTGATTAAAGCTGACATCAGGTGTCTCGCACTCCTTCCCCCCTCGTCCTCGGGCTTTCATCTAAATGATTCATGCAGAGAGCACCGGCCCTTTCATGCCGTTAGGTCGCCACAAAGGAATAACAGCTTGATCATACACCGCAAACATAGACAGATGTGCAATGACACCGGCTCAGTGTCTGTTGCACCGACTTATATCAAGTCGCATCCGATTGAGGCCGAGGAAGTCAGCTGACATGTCGCATTTTGTCGCACGGATGTTTTGCTGCAGATATCCGTGCTGACAAATGCAAGAGAGAGAATTAAATCACAGGGCTAAAAATGGTTTTATAATAGAATCACCACCAAGACAAAAAATACAACAAAATGTTGGGTTCCCCCGGTGGGATGATTTGAATGGGGTTTGACCTGCTGTCAACCTGAAGTGTGTGTGTGTGTGTGTGTGTGTCAGCCGTATGCTGCGGGACGGAACGCTGGCTTTGTGGAAGAGAAGCATCAGTGTAGCTGTGGGTGAGCTGAACGCCCGGCGGGAACATTACCCCCGAAAACTCTGTGACACAGGTAAGCTAAATAATTGGGGAATAGAGAAATGAATACTTGGGGGCTTTTTCTTCTTCCTCTCGTGAGCGGCGGAAGGGTTCATCTCTGTGTGAGACGGACTGCCTTGGATTAACGACGCGCTCCCTCCCCCCTTCACTTTGTGAACAACACAGCCGAGAGTAAACAATAACGACAGGGATGCAAAAATAGACGAACAGACAATTTGGTTCCTCACGTGTCAACCTTGGAATTAAAATAGTCTGTTCTCAAACACAAATAGGAGTGTGTTCATCACCAAGGAACCTTCAGACCGAGAGTTTAAATTTGTCATCTTTTTGAGGCGGAGGACGTGAAATGAGCAGCGACCGACTCGAGTCCAATCCCTCCCTCCCTCTCTGGCTCGGGTCGCTTGCTTTAGGGTTTTCTTTTGTTTCCCCCCCTCACCACTGTGGCCTCGGCCGCGTACGTGACTTTAATGGGGACTGACGGTAAATAACAATTACCCGTACAAGAGGCTGTAAAAATAGGAAATTTGTCAAAAGGTTCGTCTTCGGAGGGTTGAAAGTTCAGGCCGAAATTTGACACTTGTGGGTTCTCTCTCTCTCTCTCTCTCTCTCTCTCCCTCTCTCTCTCTCTCTCAAAACTGCTCTGCTGACCTGAACTGACCTGGAATGTCTGCTGTGAAAGTGCCTGCTTTTCTACAGATGACTCTTAAAGGACTCTGACGTGACAATAAAGAAAAACACCAGGGCAAAGATGGTTCGAAATGTGGCAAATATTGTAAATCTGGCATTTATTTGTTGCACTTCTTTGTTTTAAGATTTCAAAAATGTTTTTACTAATCCGTGGCTCACTAACTAACCTGCCTATAATGCAGGAACACAAAATATAACAACAACAACTGTTCTATCACGTGAAAATGATTAGAAAGCGGGAGAAACACAGCAGGATGTAGTTAAAGATGACATGACACACACTGTAAATCCCAGGACCCTCTTGGACTGCAAAATGTTTTGCAAGAAACGTGAGCCCCCCACACTTAGTGGAACAACATGAGCAGCAAGAGCCTTCATGTCCACACCAACAACAACTTCAATTATTTTCTTGGCAACAGCCTGCACTTTGAAGCCAGTACATGCAACGAATGACCGGTTATGAATGTGCATTCGCCTCCCTCAATACTGCCGTAGAGTCAATAGAAGAAACTCATATTTTAAAAATCTATTTTTTAAAAAAAACAAAAGAGTAACGGAGCCACGAGGAGCAAACATGAAGCAATTAAATAGCACCTTGTTATAATCGCCAGCAGGAGTAAACATCACCACGGCACACGTATGAACTTCACAGCGAAAGCATCAAGGCAAAGGACACACAAAGCGCACACACAAGTTTCTAGGCAACGCAATAACTGAGTGTGTTATCACACTCGCCTCACTCACAGCGCAGTACAGTGAGCCATGATTGTGACCTGTAAAATCCTCCACAATGTTCTCTGGGGTTCACCTTCTCTGCTTGTTTATCCCCAAAGTGGAATGTCAGCGTTCCACTAAACGTTTCTCTCCCACAATCTAAAGCTCTGAAGTCCGATCAAAAGTAAAACAGCAAAAGGTTCTCGCACAACTCACTGGAGGTCACACGCTTAGCGTTTCAGCCATGGCGCATACCTGCAGGTATCAAACGCACCAACAATCTGGATTCACCTTTCGGCATTTAACCACAGGTGAATCCAGATTGTTGGTGCGTTTGATTTGGACCACTCAGCATGTTAGCCGGGAGGGGCATTTGACCACCGCTTGATTTTCTACTCTGCCAGTACAAGAATGTTAACCACAAATAAACAAATACTATTCAAAATGAAACTTGATGTGTGTCGATGGAAAGTAGGCGACCATCTGAAAAATATGTGATAGAATTACAATTGTGATTTAGCCTCCTGGTCCTAATGTTTGGAAGCACATGTGGCCATTGGCTCTCTGGCTGAGAGGTTAGAGGATTATCTGGGTTAGTTTAGCATTAAGAATGCCAACAGGCAGAAATAGCCGGTCTCCATCACCTCCATTTGTCTCCTGCAGTTTTTAGAGCAATTAACCTTTAAATCAAATGTTTAGAAAAAGGGTCTTTTTTGGAGCGGGAGGGGGGGCAGGTTGTAAAGTGACTTTTTTAAAATGTACTTTCCATGATCTTTAAATGTCAGGCGGAGTGACTTCTGATCCGCATTCAGATTCATCTCCTACATTGTTTTATTCAAGGAAATGAGTTTGAAACCTTTTCATCATTTGTGTGAGGAAAGTAGCCCCCCCCCCCCCCCCTTGTATCAAACAGGGTTTGTTCCATTAGCGTAGCATGCCGCTATGAGGCATGAATGCATATGAATACATCACAGCAGCTGTTAACATTAATATCGTCCCATTAATGTTTTTTTTGTTTTTTTAAAGCGCTCTGTTTTAATTAAGCAAAACACTGTAATTTATTTTCTCGATAGTGTGCATGCATAATGAAAAAATGAAATAGATGAAACTTCTCAGCCGTGACCAAACTACTTTCGGTCCATCCAAGTTGCCTATAAAGTTGCCTGCAGTAAAAGACTAATTTAGTTCACACACACAAAGTCATACACAGAGAAAAATAGAGAGAGAGCAACGAGGAGATTTGTGTTTACATTTTTTATTGCAAGTGTCAAACCCATACGAGGAAAAAGTTGTTGAAGGGGAATAGAACAGCGTTTTCATTATGTTTTTCATGTGCCCCAGGACAGTTTATTTTCTATTAGTGAATGTGAACTACTGTCCCCAACAGACACTCAGGAGAGAGGGACGGTTCTCCACCACACATTACCTGCAAACGGATATCAAATAAGCTGCCACAAATGTGTTATTTGTGAACTCCTCTGGCCTTCGTAAATAACCACATTTCTCTTTTATTTTGCGCTTGAAATGGAGAAAATTGCGGACTCATTCAATCTTTAATCATCTGTTATTGCCTCCGATTTTTCTTGTCTGCAACATGTTAAAGCCAAGAGTGAGTATCCCTTAACTCCTTCCTTAATTACTTTATTTTGGCTGCCTTCATTTTGAATTCAAGATAGGATTTTTGTTTTAAAGCCACGTATTGTAACAGGTGCTCAGAGGGTTTCCACTCAATTTCTCCAGACTAACAGAGATAAAGCTCTTTTGATTGGCTTCTAGGTTATTTTAAAGATTAAAGATAATAAAGCCGTGCGGAAAGATTTCTTAAACTTCTCTAAGGAGTTTATCTGAGACACTTCTGGAAGTCACCTAATGAATGTCACACCAGCTCCTTTGAAAACAAATGAAAAGAGAAAGTTGTGAGTGCTCCGTGGCATTTTAGGAATACAGGAACAAATTTGAGGATGCCTGCTGTCATCGTTGAGATAATTCCCACCGGGGCCTGAAAGATTTTTACCGTATTTCAGACTTATCCCAAGAAAGTTGATTTCTTGTTGAGAATTTGAGAAACAAAGAATCTTATTTGAACATATAGGGCCATAAAGGTTGCAAACAGCATAGCACTGCATTATTTATACACATCTCAATATGTTTGTGAACAACAGCAGCGAGTGGAAGGATGGTAATGGTATGGAAGTCACACGTCAGCCTCTTCAGTTCAACTCCCAGTGGATTCGTCTTTTCTGCAGCTACATTTACAGAGAGAAAATGTGGCTCCATGAGTTCCTTTTATTTCCGATGCTTTCTTGTCCATCTACTGAGATTTTAAGAACATTCTTGGGACGTTTAACTTCAACGAGGTCTGTGTTTTTTGTACTATGTAAACGGTTCAATGAGCAGGAATAGCTGATGAGTCTGCTGCAGGAACGACACACTCCTGAGTTGAACCTGCAGTATCATATTCAGTCTGTGGAAACGTCATTTTCAAAGATGAGAAGCAAAACGAGTCCTCGTAAAGCACCTTTAACAATATTCTCAAACCATTTGTATGAAGTTTGGTTTATTCCCAGAGTTAGTGTATACTTCATTAGCAAGACTCAGTCTGCATTCAATAGTTGCCACAACTGAAGAAAGACAGTGTTCCATATTTAAAAAAACAAATTATTATAATAATAATAATTATTCATTATTATTATTATAATAATAATCATTGTTTAATTTGCCAGCAATCCTCCTGAATTCAATGATCTATTAAATTTGTCAGAAAAGGGTAGTGACTTCAGATTGCAAATTTTGTTTCACCAATGCTCAAAAACCTGAATATGAATAACACATAAGAAAAAGCAGCGATTATGCAGGATTATGTTTTTGCATGTTGGCTTGAAAACATATTCACAGAGTTAAAAGGTAAAGCTGTATTTAACATTTTTCGACAGACCTTCTGAAATAATACTGTATATATGTGTGTGAGCACTGTAGCATCCACTCAACATACAACAGCTGCACCCTGATCAAGTTTATATTGTGGCAGAAACGTGCTCAATCAAATCTAAGGTAATTTTGATGACTAATACTAACACTGACAAAACTCCATCACTTGAAAGTGAATAGATTTAAACAGTCAATATCATTATTTTGATCTTGAAATGACATGGCTTAGATGACACGCACAACACTGTTAACGTTAAATGACAATCAGAACTTCAATGTTCGTAAAGCAAAGTAGTGCACAAAGTGACTTGGACCACATGACAGCTCAGGGAAATATCTCAAGACAACCATGAAGTATTATTCCGTTAAGTAAATGTAAGCAGACTGCTTAGAATTCAGCCGATTTCACACAGCACAGCATGAGACATTCATACAAAGTCTGATCCTTCCGACAGGAGGATTTGCCGTCACTCTGTTTCGTCATTGCAAAGGTAAAATGCAAAGTGTGTGACTGGACTGAAGAGATAAAAAAAAAAAAAACAGGCAATCGGGGTGGAATATTATTCATGAAATAAGGACAACTGATGAAATTCTAATAACTGTTAATATTCTGTTCTGTTGGTGTTTACACTTTGCTTGGAAGCAGAGAATCTCCAATATGTCTCCAAGAGCCGAGATCCCCCCACACAGAGACAAACAAAAGCATGGAGTAAATACTCGCAGCAGTGAAGAAGCTCCTCTCCTCCTCTCCTCCTCTCCTCCTCTCCTCCTCTCTCCCCGTCATTAGCATTTCAAACAGCCCTTGTTTTGCATCAGCGCTTCATGCGTGTGCGCACGCCATGGCAGCCTTGCAGGTGGCGGCCTGTCCGACCAGTGGAGTTGAAATGAAATGTGCGAGTGTGTACGTGGTCGGGTGGGGAGTGAGGGGGGGGGGGGGGGGGGTCTCTTTTGCGGTAAGGAGTAATTTCTAAAGGGACTTGACCTCTTTTTCCAAAGCTTAGAAAAAAGTCTGCAGGACAGGCATTGTTACACATGCCACCAAAATCATAAAATCTCTCAATGTTTGTGGTCTACAGCTATGATCGGCGGGGAGGGGGGGAGGGAAGGGGGGGGAGGCAGTGGTGAACTGTTCTGGATCCACATTCCGCCTCGTGAAAATCCACAAAATCTCTTTTTAAATGTCTGCCAGCAGTCCCATCCAGGCTTTGATTGAGTGCATCGCAATGTGAGCAGCATATCAAGCGCTGAAACAATGATACAGACTTTGCATGCAGTAGCTGCCTGTTTGGACGGGGGAAGGAAAGAGGGGTCGGGGGGGGGATGCGTCACTTTATCTTAAATCAGCTGCTAATAGATTGTCCACTCCGCGGGATTGACCCCAGCTACAATTGTGTTCGAGCAAAATGGAAATTAAAATGATGGGTTCTTGCTGTTTCGATCGCAGCAAGGAGATATCTGATTAAATCCATATTGTTCTTTGCTCTATCTGATGGGCTCTCGCTGTCCTCGGAGTCCAGAGTTAGTTGAGGTGACTGCAGCGGACCGCGACGAGCTCGCGCTGATTGCATGGGACTTCTGTCGTGCTACCGCGCCACCTGAAACACCAAGACGTGGAAGAGCCAGATTTCACAACTCTGGTTTTGTTTTACACAAAAGAAAGCGGATGTATAATTAAAGTGTATTCAGTATTTAAAGTAATTCCCTTCTTATTTACCAGCTTAGTGAAACATTCATTGTTATAAGAAAATTGTATTAAACTGTGTCATTCTGAATAATGGGTACTTTTGTACCTCTAAGTACAAAAATATATTTGAATTCCAATATTATTGCTCTTTTACTTAAAGGTTCAGTGTGCATTGAGTGTGATCTAGCAGAACGGTAAAACGCTCTGCTCGACCTCCCATTTGGAGAACTACTGTCCAGTGAAAAGGTCAAAGGCCAAACGTTCAAAAGCCCTCTACAGAGTCGGTATTTAGCCGTTCCGTGTGCGTTTTGGGATACTGTAGAAACATCGTACGCTGTAAAGGGTCAATTCTTAGCGTAGGTTCTTTTTTATACACTAATAGAGACATAGTCCGTATTATTGCACTGCATTTCTCCCAATAGAGTCTCCTAAATAATAAACAACTTGCTCCATTAATTTAGTCTAAAACGTTTCCCACAGGAATCTTACATACATAAAACAGTTCAACCAAAAGGCAACTTGTGTGAAAGAGCATTTATAAACGCAGCGTGGCTTCTTTTGACCGTCAGATTTAAAAACATGGGTTTCACTGTTTTGCTTTACAGCTTTCTTCATGTTTGTCCTCTTGGCTTCATCTTACACCAGATTCTAATGAGCCAGAGTGTCGATACGGCCAATGGGAGCAGGGACCGTGAGGTCGATTGTGGAATCATTCAGCATCAAAGGAGAGATTACTAAAATAACGTTTTATGATGAGCGTTCACGAGTCTCGATTGGACTGCAATTAAGCGTCTATAAATACCACATCTTAAGCTAAAGCCATTTTGTGTTGCAGATTTGTTAGCGTTGGTTCAGCTGTGACTGAAGGAGGCTTCACCTTTGTGGTCTTCACTTTGTTCCCAGAGATGCATGACCAACCAGTGAGGTCAGGGAGAACTCGGCACTCTTCCCCCTTCAGACACGGCGCCATTTTGCACCACCACTTCTGACGCACAATGGAGGCTGCAGAACAACACACCACGGACTCTACTTTTACAAATAATACATTCCAGCCATGTCAAAGTATTTCTGATGGAGAGAGGGTAAAAGACGCTCCCGCTAATATTACCTTCAACACAAGAGGGCAAAGCCCTCGTCGTCCCCGCCACCTGTCCTGGGAAGCAGGAGCACTTGACGGTTTGAGAGCGTTCCTCAATCTTGTTCTTATTGCAGCAACGATGAGCAGCAACCACTTCACAGGTCCCCGTCCTCTCCTGCGACGACCCTGAGGGTGAGAATTCAGAGGAAAAGATTAACATTTTTATTCTGTTTTAGACGCTGTGGCAGCTCTAGGCACTTCAGCCGATACAGTTGGCAGAATTTCATTCAAATTCTAATGATTTCTTGTTTGTTTTTCTAATGTAAAATGTAGGAATATTGTTTTTTTTTTGTTAAACTCATTCAGATGATACATAAAATACTTTTTTTGAAATGTTTCTAAAGCTACAGCACCACCAAGTGGATAAAAAGCATCAACACTCAAGCCACAGTGAAGGAAAAACACATTCCAATGTCAAAGAATATCAGCCGACATCGCTGTGTTCAGCCGCCTGATTTAATATGAATAATAATATCATTAACAGAAACATGTCTACCGCATATGCTTCGATATTATTTCACTGCAGGATCAAAAAAAAGCAGTGATCAAAAAAAAATAAACAAGTAATTGAATGCAAATTCCACCAGTACAAAAAAACTCCACCAACCAAACTCAACAACCACACGACAACAAAACGACAACCAACCGTCGGCCTGGTCACAGACGCGTAGCGCCAACGCTCCGGGTCGCCCTGTTAGCTCCGTCAGCACGGTGGCTGCGGTTTGCACCGTTGATAACGTTAGTCATGGGCCGATGGCCATGTTGAAAACCACTGACCTCTTAATGTCTGATTTTGCGCTTTTAAGTATATGACTGTAACACTTCTTCCAAGACTGCTGTAATTACTCAACTTGTCCCTCGGCTGATGCTGCAGAGGTTCAGCAGGCCGTAGAGCCGACAGCGACATTAAACTGCAGCAAATCCTGGCCTTTTTAATCCCTCTGACAGCACAACAGCATAATGCATTTTTGTCTGCGAGCTATTTGTTGTACTGTGAGGCTCTGAGTAAACATGGAAAACCGTATCCAGCATTACTGTTTTTAATGAGACTCATAGTAAATCGGTGGTTTGTGTTACTTGAGCTGAACTCTCTACCTGGCGACCAGATTGTTGACCAGGAGCCCTAATGAGTCCCTCAGGGGGGCGGGACTGGTCTGGTTGGGTCTCGCACCTACCCGTCTGTCCTCTGGAGCTTTGGTTGCCAGTGGACACGAGTTGGCTGCACCAGCCTACTATACAAAGAAGCAGGAGGCCCCAGTGTAATGGTCCAGCCGACATGTGCAGCTTCATCTCGCCTGCTCAGACCAACAGGTTCACGTGCTGGAAAAAAAAAAAAGCACAATCTTACCAAGTATATTTATACATTACCGGTCAAAATGTGTCATAACACAACATAAGACACCATCAAACAACAAGTTACATTTCAGGGAGAAATAGGGACGTTGTTCTTATCTAGACACAGCGCCTATTTAGTGCTTTTAGATTTTTGAAAGTTGCCTTTTTTAGTGCATGATCCGAAGGTGAATATTAAATGCATCTGTTATTTCCTGACTCCTGAAATAAGGTTCACAAGATCGTTACATCTATTTGCTCAACTGTGACTCATCCATCAGCAGGCTCCATTGAGGGGAATCAAAGAAATGCCAATGTGGAGCCTGAGCAGAGGCTCAGTTAAGGGCAGACGGGTCCTTGCACTCATTTCTGACTCAGATTATCCCTTCAGCTGTAAACATGCATTCAAAGCTAGATTCTCCCTCAAAAACAAGTTGTTTTCCACATGAGTCAAAGAAAAACTGGGACGTGCACTTTTACATCAAATTACAGCGATGACTAATGCAGCAGTTCAAAGATTAGATTACGTGAAATAATTGAGATAATCAATTGATCTAAAGGTCATTATTTTAAATAACCCAGAGCACAAGGTCTAGAAATAGATAAAAATATTTCATTAACAATTATGTAAATCTGAAAAATGCACGTTGAAGAACCTTTTTACTGCATTAACAAGATATCAGAGCCAAACACATGTTGAGTACTTTAGCAATATACAGTGCAGCTCTTACCTGTGCTCGAATTATTATTGAAATGCATGATGAGCCGTTGCAGAAATCAGTTTCTGGATCAGCATCGTGCATAAGCTACTATGTGTATCTATATATGTATATTGATTCCTTTCAGCAAAGATGCACAAGTTTTGCAGTAGATATGATCCTCCAGTTTCCACAGTCTTCTGCTGCAATCCAAAGTAAGAGCGGGGAGCCTGCGGCGAAATAACGCACAGAATGAGGCAACAAGTCCTCTGCGTGAAAAACGTGCGCCTCCGCACCTCAGTTCCTCCGCTTGGAGACGCTTTAACCGTCCGTGCGGGATGCGATGTGTTGATCCGTGAACACACAACGCGAACACAACAACGTGCGAAGCCTGCCAGCCCCCCCCCCCCGGGGAAAGAACTAACTCAAACTTAATCAGGACAGGAACCATCTGTCCGCCGGACAATATGCGGCCACTTTCATTAGCGCCATAAGGAGCTTAAAGAGTATCGACCTCCTGTCAACCGCATCTCAAGGCGTGATCCCTTCTCACGACGCGCGTGACGTGTTTTCTTTCAGCTCGTATTTGGAAACAGACGGACTTGTTGCTGTCACGTGACAGCCTGCAGCGGGGAGACTTCAGGCTTTTTTTGCGTGTGTGTGTTTGCTTCTTGGGCCCCTGGAATGATAAACGTACACGTGCAAGCCAGTGACTACACTTAACTAGCTTGTTCTCACTAGAAATGTATATTTTTAAATAAACTTTCTCTTCAGCCATGATAATAAAACTTTATTAGAGCAGAGCGCACATGATTACTCTCATTTGATTGACATCTAATATAGCTACAGTAGAAGTCAAAACAGAGACAAAACACTTCAAAAAGTAACCGTTACTAATAAAAAAAACAAAAATGTTTTAAAGGATTTTATATTCATATGACAACCAGTTCAAACCAGTGACGCCTCACTCATCTTATTTACATCATCATATCAGGAGCGCTACTGCGACCGCCCAGTAACGCCGCTTCGCATTCAGATTCAATCCGACGTCGGTCTCCGAATAAATGTTCAGGTGGTGAAATTGAGCTTGAAGAGAACCGTCTGAGGCGTGGTGACGTCGGCCACGGCCAGTTCCTGTCCGTCCGACAGGCCCAGCTCTGAAACATGACACACGGTGTTATCACAAAGCGGGCGGAAGGAAACGTGGCAGGCTGTGCGCGACCGGACGCCTTCTTACAACCTTTCAAAGTCTTGCAGAGGTTCGGCCTCGTTCGTTCCTCGATGGATTTAACAGACTGGAAGGAAAATGCAATCGCGGTTTAATCACAGATTATTCCGGAATGTGGGAGAACCAACACAGTGAGGCATTTAAACAGTGGATGGGCCGCTGTTTATTACCTGCAAATACAGCGTCTTATTCTTCCCTTCCAGAGTTGTGGTGATAGCCGGCGATTTCATTTGCCTGATGAAAAAGAAATACACAATTTGAAGACGTTTTGAAGCGACTTTGCAGGATGTAGTCTTCTGATTGCACTCACAGGGAGGCGCTCTCTGTGAGGAACTGTAAAACCTCCTGTAGTTTGGCAGACGAAGGGAATTGGAGATCCTGAGGCACCTGGCTGCAAGCAGAACAATTTTCCTGCCGATCAAAGATGATGCAGAGTAAAGTGGTTATTCTCTACATGCAGAAATGCCCCCTGCTGACAGGGACTTTACTGTTGGCTACAGTCCCTCCCCCCCCAAAAAAACAACCTTTCGTTCCGCTTCAAAGGTGTAGGTGTACAGTCCATCCACGTCGTTAAAGACCAGGTAATTATTTAAAGGGATATACGCACTGCAAAAACAAAATTCAGATGATGAGTAATGTTTTTCACAGGAATCAATCAAGATGATAAATGAATACGTGTCATTTGCTCCTCACCTTGTTGCAATTTTAAAGACTTCGGTGGCGCAGGCAGCTGTGGAGAACAAAGACAAGACAAAGGTGTGGTTACATCCGTCCGTCCGTGCATCCATTTCACACGGCTCATCTCCGGCCCGGTGGCGGCGGCAGCAGGCTCAGAAAGGCTTTTCCAGACGTCCCTCTCCCCAGCAACGCTTTCCAACTCTTTCTAGGGAACCCAAAGGCGTTTCTCCAGTGTATTCCTAGTGCACCCCGGGGACGAGGAGGCGTCCAGGAGACATCGGATCTGATCTGCCCCAAACCAGCTTAGCTTTTCATCACAAAGAAACAGCAACTGGACATCTGGTCCCCTCGGATGTCTGAGCTCCTCATCCTTCTCTAAGGCTGAAACCATGACCATAAATGAGGGTACGAACTGGTGGAATCGAGAGCATGCTTTCCGTCTCGGCCCCTTTTTTTTTTTACATTTACACAAATGCTCCTATTGCCGATTATCCAGAAAAATAAAATGCCCATTGTGGCAGATCCGGTCCTCTGAAAAATCAACAAACTGAAGAACAGAGCTAATTGTTATTCAGAAGGATTTTGATTTTAGTATGAGAATTGGTTTTTCCCCCAATATTGCTACGGACGATTTTGCCCGAGGATGACGCTGAAGGAACACGGGCCTGACGCAGGACTGATTCTGACATTTACGGAAAGATGTAACTGAACTGTTATATTTCCCTTCTATCGACACTTCTGAACCGCTACTGTCTGAAAAACATCTGCGTGTCTGAAAAGCATCTGCGTGTCATACCCGCGATAACAGCATTAGTCGACGCCACAGCTGGAATGATCCTCTTCACGACTCCTGTGGCACAAAAACAGTTTGGTTTCATTTCAGTACATATTTGTGAATACATTTAAAAACTGACTGAACTACAGCATCAGCGTTGGATTAATTATTGTCTTTTGATTCACAAGTTCACCTTGAGTGAGGCGGTACGTCACTCCTGTAATGTTGAACTCTGCAGCTCTTTTTCGGGCTCTTTCAAACACCCACTCGATGTGCTCTGGATTGTCTCCATCTAAGCTGGTATCTAGTGAGGAGGAAAGAACCCTTGTTGTCCTTTGTGAATGTACACAGACAAAAGGTTACACCGTGTGATCAGATGTGTTTATGTGCTGTTTAGCTTACCTCCAAAAGGTTTTTCTTTTGGCCATTGTAGGATTCTGGCATATTCAATGCAATGTTCTGGTAGCCTAGGCATTGACGCAATGGTGCACATCGGGAAATTAATCTGTGGACGGTAAAATTAGGTTCAAGCATGTAAATCTCTATGATATCCATCTATAAAACAGAAGATTAAAGCAGTGCATGAAAATGTTTCTTCATGAAATCTTAACTTTATTGTATTTTCATAATTTCTCTTTGGGTGTTTTGGCCCATGACGAGAAAATAACTGCTGTGCTGCTGTTGCACTTGTTTGTGTGCAACACATTTTACCTTTTTTTTTTTTTTACGCTTTTGTCAGAAGTTGAATTCGGCCATTTAATCACATCAAACTGATGTCAACCGTATTCATATGAACCTTTAAAGTGAAACCAGAAGATAAGATGCTATTAAAAGGGTGACCTGTGGCGGGTACAGCTCCAATGTGCAGTCGATGCATGCTGTCATGCCGGGGAGAATGACACGGGCGTTTCCTTTAAAGCCCTCGGTTCCTCCATCGATGAGAGGGATGATGGAGCTGGGGTCCAGGACTCCGTCTTCATAGCTCAGGAGGGATATCTAGAGAAAGCAACGCAATCATCACTCCCAGCACGTTGCACTTATATATATACACATATATATATATATATATATATGTATATATATATATATAAAGGCGCATCAAGTGAACACAACCCTGAAATCTCCCTCTCCTACCAGCATCCCGTTCATCCAGCGTCTGGCAATGATGGAGTCCAGCCCACAGACGATGATGTGGAACTCTGCAAAGATACAAACATTTGAAACCTCTGATGTTTTTTTTTTTAAACTTTTTTTTGACTGTAAGCTCCGTTGATGCATCTTAGAGAAACACTTACGCCTGTAGAAAGACTCGTCAAAGTCTTGGATCTTTTTAAAGTGGCTGCATTTCGTTAATAAGGAATATAAATTGTGTTGAGAGTATTTTCCACACTGTAAACGTAACAACCATTGGTGCAAAGGATACGATGCGACTTTACATCCAGGGATGCGACTGTTGATGAAGTTGGCGGCCACTTCAGCCTTTGGTCGTCCAACGTCTTTGGGCCTGAATGAACGCAGTTAGCTGATAATAACTGTTGGGCATAAGAGTAATGTACTCTGATTTGATCACCCTGCAACTGACCGTTACGTCCCACTATGTTCTTTAACGGCCATCATGTAAATAATTAATTATTTTGCATCATCAGAAATACCGTGAAGCCTACCTGAAAAGAAACTGCCTGTTGAGGTTGGACAAGTCAATGGTGTCCATGTCAACCACGTGAATGATGCGAAACCCAGACAGGGCCTGTAGCACAACGAGCATGTGTAAGAACTTATCTAAACTCAGTCACTGTCCATTGAATTTATACTTTATACTTATACACAGATGCACAACATCTCTTACCAGATTTTTGAGGAGCTCACATCCAAGACCTCCCGCTCCAATGACCAGAATCTTGCACGTCTCCAACAAGAACTGTAGAGACTGAGATGAAAGAAACATCACATTATTGAAATAATAAAAAAAAATGTACTGTGGTCTGGAATATCATCATCACTTCATCATCGTTATTGTACCAGATTGTTTCAGTTTAACATGTGAAATCTCTGTTTAGTTTCAAGTTACCTCAGCACTTGGCTCAAAGTCAGGATGGGTGAACGGGCCGGGTCGCTCCAAAAACTTGGTCACATGATTCCACCGGCCATCCCAGTCACACCCACCAACCCCGTGTCCACCATCTACAGCCATTCTGGACACACAACACACCGTGAACTAGTACCATTAGGACACCTATCCCTACCTATCCATTATATGCACTTTTAATTCCCTGAAGGTTCAGTTAATAACAGTAATGGGCATTAATAAATAAGTAAACAAAGAAGAAAGACCTGTTATGCAGAAATTACAGCTACTAACCTTTATGGTAACTTCACACAACCTGCAAACACTTTAAGTTTGTCGTGAGTCAACGTCACTCTGATTTAAAAAATAAATCTTATTTGGTTGAAAATGTTGTCTTTTAATAATCTTTTGAGAACACACAGCTTAGTTGTCCATAAGGGGTAAACTGATGGATTTAAGGGGCCACAAAAAGATTGGCCGTGATGGAAATAATAAAAAGAATCAGAATATTGGTAAGAATAATTCCTGCAACAAATGTTTTAGTTTAATGGGCAAAAAGAAAGTGATGTGAATAATACTCATCAGGAAACGACTTTCCAGACGTTCTTCATAAACATGTGTTGTGGTTCTATTCCATACCAATTGTATAGCTTGTGTACGTTATCGAGATCTTTAAAGAATACGTTTTTTGCAGCAAGAATGCACCAAATTAATCACACACCAAAATGCACATTTGGGAATGTCACTTTCTTCTGATTTGACCTGCAAGTAGTTCCTCTATTTTGCTTTTGTGCATTGCATTGCACGACATCAGTGCAGTGCAGTACATCTCACTCATGAGGGGAAGTTTCTATTCGCATGCATTACCGACTCATGCGAGTTTACACGGTTGTCACTCTTCAGGTTTGAACACACAACGTACTCGACCCCTGTTCAGGATCAGTAAGAGACCTTGGTGTCATTGGTCGTGTGTGCAGCTGCAGTGTGGTGGCCCCTACACATTTGTCCCGTACGGAGGATGCACGCTTGGTCTTGTGGCCCTATGTTTGAGGCTGTGAATGGACACATTATGGAAATGGACGAACTTTACAGTGAGCTAACTGCGTTATTAAGTTAACGTTTATTGTCGTGTCTCTCCCGCTCCGACAGTCGCTGCTCAGAGTGCAACGCAAACCTGCTGCGAGCCAAAGACCTTTATTTAGTATTCGTCACTAACTTCTCGGTCGGGTCCTCTATTCGCCGTCTTTTCTTCTCCCTGGTAGAAGAAATAGAAGAGGGTTCAAGCATCCCGAGCCTGCGGTCAATTGCGCCGGTTTAACTACGATACAATCACATTAATCGTCCATTGAGACTTACGGCTCCTCGGCATCCGCCATACTTTCACGGTCCCATTTCCCCGATTGTGACTGCTGTGTTTCCGAGCGTCAAAGCTGCGCCCAGCAGCGCCCAGTACCTGTGCAGCGCAACCATATCTTTCCTCAATCTTATCCACCCATTGGCCGCAAATTAAACAAAAGATAAATTACCTTGAAAACTAAAAGCGTTGTATCAGATTACATATACACACAGATACACAAAACACATCCGATCCGATTCTAAGTATGTATGTAAATTCATTGTTGGACATGTTTGGGATTTACAGAGTTATTTTTTTATTTAAAGATTTTAAAACAATTCTGAATGGAATTTGAACTAACTTCTTTTGACGTAAAAATCTTCATCGTTAACGTGTCCGCATCAACATCACTCGTGGAGGTATATTTATTACATGCATTGTTATTTCCAAAACACCGTCCATGCGTTTATTTCGGATGTTCTTATAATGCTTAATGCAACGTTCGTTTACTGCGATTGGTACCGCTGCGCATTCTAAGGCGCAATATTAAGGCTCCGAAACACCGATTCGATAATCCAACTGTCGCGAGATCTTGAGCGAGAGCAACGCTTGGCCGTTTGACTCCCGTCTTCCGGGCTCCGACGGGTGAATCAGCTGGTCTGTCAAAATATTCGGCCGTGTTTTTTTTTGTCCGTGCGTCGCTTCGCCACTCGTTGAAGACATGACAGCCAAGATGGAGCTAGCGCCCCTCAGGGCGTGGGACGATTTCTGCCCCGGAATGGACCGGTTTGCCAAACCCGAGTTCGGAGATTTAACAAAGTGGAACAACCGAGTGATCAGTAACCTGCTGTACTACCAGACCAATTATTTCGCCGTGGCCGTGGTGGTTTTCCTCATTGTCGGGTGAGTCCTAGCGGCATGCTAACAGGAAGGCGAGCTAACGTTCGTGTATTAGCCTTCGCCCCGCTTGTCCACACGTGACAGCGCGCAGTGTTTCTACCTCTGCTGTCGGTTTGCCAACTTTCCGGAACTCTTCCGCTGCATCTTAAATTTGGCTTATTATTTTGGCCTATTGCCGTTAAGGTGTTGCACGTTTTTTTTAAACATTCCATAACAACAACAACGGTCAGTTGTGACACCGTAGCTACCTTAAACAATGTGTGATTTACATTTAACTGATTTTAGATTTTTCTTTTGTTTAATGACATAGGGATTTGGGATGTTTCTCAAAAACCTTCCCAGTGCAGCCACGTATCACTGCTGCCAGTCGGTGGTGGTGTGTCGTGTCGGTTTGGTGGTTTTACTTCCACTAGAATATGAGTATAGGCCTTTTTATACCATCGTCTGCCACGGCTCACACCAGCTGATCAGGCCTTTAGCTGTTGTTGTTGTTGTTGTTGTTATTACCAACCAGGTTGTGCTATTTAAAACCAAACCTCCACTCATGGACAAAATGCCCCTTTTCCTCATCCAACATGAAGGTTCCTGAACCCGTTGGGCATGTTCCTGGGAGGAGCTGTGGTGGCCCTCGTCTTCATGGGTTCAGTGTGGGCCGGAGAGAACCAGGCCACAGTCAAGAACTTCAAAAGGAAGAACCCCACCCTGTTTATCATCGGGGTCATGGCCGCCAGCTACTTTCTGCTGTCGCTGTGTGGCGGTGTCATGGTCTTCATCTTTGGAATCACCTTCCCGATGCTGTGTAAGTCACAAACTTTCTGTTTACTCAAGAATTCAGTAACGCTGTGTCACAGACGGAACTTTTAGTCAGTGAGACTAGAAGTTCCGTATCCAAGCGACCGACTGGATCTGGAAAATACATTTTGTGCTCGGCTTAAGCCAATTACAGTTCCAACTTGTTATCCCCACGCGATGTGATGAGCACTTGTTGGCGAATGTGGTGTATTGGGGCAGTGAGTCACTTTCTCTGTGACGGAACAGGCTTTTTTCAAGATTTTCTTTCTCTGTATCTCCCTGAGGGAATTACACGAGCAGGTCCTTTTTTTAAGCCTCCCTTCCACCCACAAGATGCAAAAAGAATTTCTTTACGGGGGGGGGTCTCCGGAGGTTAAAATTTTGGAATTCCCCACAGTTCTCCCAACACTTTGGGACAAAGGGGGGGGTTCGAGATAATGGGGGTATAATTTTCCCCCCCCCCCCCCCCCCCCCGCTGCTGCTGTCTATGTTGACGGGTTGCTATGGGTTGTTGATTTTGAGAGCCCACATTTACCGGCTGATGTCATGTGTTCAGTATCCGGCCCGCCGTGGGAATAAAAGACACGCCGATCCTCACGCCTGCTGTAAAGCCTGAGTTGCCCCAGTATCATTTTGTTTTCCTATATTCCTCGATGTATTCCAGAGAATATCCTGTACTAAGTTTCGTAATGTAGAATTTATGACGCAAATGTCACCGTGATGTGAGTACATTGTCGTTGTGTCTCCCTCAGTGATTCTGATCCATGCCTCTCTGAGACTGCGCAACATGAAGAACAGGCTGGAGAACAATATTGAGAGTGTTGGGCTGAAGAAGACCCCCATGGGGATCCTCATGGATCTACTGGATCAGCAGGAGGAGAAAGTGAGCAAGGTTCGGGATTTCATTGAGGGCAAACTGAAGGAGTGAGGCTCGCCGTGTGCCAATGGAAGTCGGTGCCGTACAGAGTGAATTAAAATGGCCATAGTACACTCCCATGTGTTGTTTTTATCCCATCCATACATGCATAACGGATATTTTACTTCTCCATTATTTTATTCTGTTGGTTTACTTTAATGTATCATTCTTTTGTGTGACGTCACTCACAGGTGGCTGGTAAAAGATTTCTAACAATATTTGCACGATCACAGTGGGGATTGGATGTTAAAAGGTCAAAAAGCACCAAAGGTCATTCCTGTGTGAATTCTTTTTCCAAAAATGAATCATTTCCTTTGTTCCACATGAAGACTGTTTATTTAGCAAGAGAGTTATTTGGAAAGAGTATTTAGCAATGCAAAGCGGAATGTCTAAACATAATGTCCATTGCTGTTTTTAGATACTCATTTGTTTTTTGTAAAGAGGAAGTTGGATCATTTCAGTTTGCTACCTCAAAAGAAGCATGTTTTATTCACCCAACACCAAGGCGGCAGCTGAAATCTTATTAAACAACAATAACGTCCATTTTGCCACCTTAGAAGCTGTAAGAATACTGATCTGAGACCAGTTTGCTTCTCGACTAATCCTTGTGGATTTTCAATATTCCTCACCATGCAGGCCGGCCTGACTGTATTCCTCTAAACACAGCTATGCAATGTTAAAAATGAATGGCAACGGCAGCTTTATTTTTTGTGTGTTATGTCATGACATGTAAATGTTTGTTATTTCTTTATTTTCATAATTTAGCATGCAGAAGTTTATGAAATGGGCTACAGGATACAACGTAGCTGAAATAATTTTGGCAATGAGTAAATCTTATGAATTATTATTATTATTAATTGATCCCTAGTGTTTTCCCACTCACGGTTGGGATCAAGACCCTTTCCATTGTTAAAAAAATAAAATAAAATCCGAAATCTGTATTTTGAAGTGTTCATTCTTTTACTGTTACTCCTGATAGTAAAATGATTTATTTATTGTATCTTCTCCAGACTTTAACTGCACTCTGTGCATGTTGCTTCCACGTATGAAAATTCAGAAAGCTAATGTTATTTGGATTATACATTATATTTTCACTGGTGATTTGTGACTTTTTTTTTATTCTTGAGAGTTGATTGAATCAAACAACAGAGTAAAACCTGGCTGTCCTGTTGCAGTCGTTTTGAAATTCAATGTTTAAATAAAATATATAACCCTCATATAAGTCTCATCCATAAACGATCCCTAATCAAGCCAACCTGCTCTAAAAAAAGTTTTAAGGAATACATGAATGGCAATATCACATAATAAAAGAGGTCAACTTCTTAAACTACACAAGAGATCAACAACCGGCCAATATATTTTAATTATGAAATGAAAGTATAATTCAGTTTTATTTTGCACACAGTTGATAAGAGGAGGACAAACAGCTCAAGTTGCAGCCTCACAGGAGACTTGTTTCACTTGATTCCAGGACTTTAGGGAGCGGCACCTGCAAGCAGCAGCAAAGAGAAAGAAAAGATGACTTGTGTTTCTAGTAGCAGGGTGTAAAGTTATTATAGGAAACACCTTAAGACAACTTCACACATCCACATGCAATGAGTGCTTTTGTGTTCTGAGAGCTTTCAACGATAGTAACCCTTTTTCATCGAATGGCAACCCTAACGCGTCAAATGTTAGTAGTCCTGTGCGCTTGACACCAACTTGATTGATCTTGTTCTACAAATTCTTGGATACTCACAGATTTGAGGTAGGCCACGCTGCTCTTTTTGATCTCACCGAGCAGCTGGTCGCGGGGTGTGACGTCCACCTTGGCCGCCAATCGCCTGCGAGGGACGGGCTTTAAAGTCTTAATCACGTCCGTCAGATTTGCTTTTTCCTCCGTCGCTCCATTGCCTCCATCCTTCCCTCTGGGAGTCTTCCTCAGCTGGAAACTTGCCCTCCCTGGTGCCTTGTTGTCCCTCGGATCCAGGTCGAGAAAAGGGTCACGCTTCTTGGGCGTCCTCTTCAGCTGGACTTCCCTCAAGGTGTTTGCCGTTTCGGCGGCGGGTTGCTTGGGCGCGCTCTTGTGTTTGAGCTGCTTCTGGGGCTCCGGGTCCGCCGCCTGCTGTGGCGTCGGCGCTACCACGCTGGGTTCCGACGAGGGCGGGACGAGCCCACACTCCCGCAGAAGCTCCAGAGGCGGCAGGTAGCCGAGCATCTCCAGGAAACCGGGAGGCAGGTTCAGACTGTTCTCGTACATCTGCATCATCTCCCTCTGCTCCTTGGCCTGCTGCTGCCTCTGCTCCTCCTTCCTCAGCTGCCTCTGGCGGTCCAGATTCCTGGTCAAAAGGTTGGTGACCACCATCCTGGGTCCCGCCTGCTCAAAATGGTAGCCCATCTTCAGGAGGGTGTGGTTGGCCTTGAGCAGGCGCGAGATCTCCATCTCCGAATGGTGGCCCAACATGTGCCGCTGGTTGTGGAAGCGCAGCTCTGTGAGCGTCTCGTTGAACTGGAGGCAGCGGATGATGGCCACGATGCCCTTCCCGGTTACGAAGTTGGACTCGATATTCAAAGTGGTGATGCCGCGGTTCTCTCGTAACATGTTGGCCAGGTTGAAGGCTATGTTTTCGTCAACGCCGGTGTTGGCTATGCTGAAGGTTTTCACGTGTTTGTTCTTCTTCAGCGCGTTGACGTAGTCCAGCAGCATGTCTTTGGGAATGTTTTCGATGTTGTTGAGGTTGACCTCTGTGATGGAAGGGTTGTTGTTGCGGATTTTGTCGAGCGTCGACTCCAAGTTTGTCTCATTTCCCGAGGGTCTCGATGTCATTTTTACGTTATTGAGGGCCAGCTTTGGAATATTCAATTTGTTGATTTTCCTCTCTTCTTTCTGCGGGAGCTTTTCTTTAGTTCCGTTTATCTCTGGCTCCTCTGTGGCCTCTTTGGGAGGCGAAGAGTCGGTGGTTTTAATTTCCTCCTTCTCTTCACCTCTTGATGTGCTTTGTTTTGGGGCTACGCTGTCACTCCTCTGCTTTATGTCTGAAAGGGGCCGATTGTCATCTGTATTGATATCTGCTACTTTTTCTGTGTTGGCGTCTGGGGAATCTACATGTGTGTTAGTATTTTCATTCCGGTCTGCGTTCACGGGCGACTTCAACCCTTCCTCGTCTTTCCCGTCCACCCCTTTGTTCTTTTCATCCCTCTCATCAACCTCTTCAACAATTTCTTCAACAATCTCTATAATTTCCTCTCCATCTGTACCATTAACAGCTTCCTCCTCAATGACTTCCTCTATCATTTCATATTCCACATCTTCTTCTTCTTTGTCTTTCTTTTCAGTTTCCTCACTCAACGTTTTCTGATGAAAGATAAGCATTGGATCCAGGTTAGAATTGTGCTTGTTCCAAACACTATGTTTAACATTACAATATAATATGATTTCTAAAGACATATTGTTATTATCATTAAATTGAGCTCTTACCTCACTGGGCAGCAGAGTAGCAGGCACTCTTTCCTCCTCGAGCATTCGATTGGACTCTTTCTCCCAGTAGAGGTAACCAACCAGGGACCTGTGGTCGAACGTCCCCGTCGGAGTCTTCTCCGTCTGGTCCTTTTGCCTCTGGCCCACTGGCACCCTCTCATCTGGGGCAATGATAACATCCATCTCCCTCTGGAGCTCCTGAAGCTCCTCCGGCGAGAGCGCGGCAAGGAGTTCATCCTCGTCAATGTCCTCGTCGTTGAGATCCTCGAGGTCGTTGCTGTTTGACATTTTTAGCCTTTGTTCTTTGTTCTGTTGGTGTCAAAAGCTACGACGACTTCCGTCCAGCCTGTGACTCCGTACAGAGCAAACTGAGAAGCCTCCGACTGTCCTGCCGCATGTGTGGGAGTCTAAAATTAAACGCTGTGAACTGCATGGAAGATATTTCGGTTGCAGCACAGGCATTCTTCTTTCAGCCCCTAAACCCAGCTGGCCCGGCCGTCAGGATCTTTTGGGGTGACAGCTGCTTCAGGCCCGAGTGAAGGATTGACGGCAGCAGCCGCGCTGCTTGGCTGGCGGCGTCGCAGAATGTAAAAGTCTCCTTCGCGAGTGCTGCACAACAAACCAATTAGGTAATTGAGAGGGAATTCTGCCATCACAGAAAAACGTATTCTTTATCTTTATTTAAAGAGGAAATACGGGGACTTTTTGGAGTATGCTTACCTTACCGGGGGCACATGTTTGCCATTTTCATGGTATTTATGCTACGCTGAGCCCACTTACTCCATTTTGTCAATCAGATTATTCCAGAATGAAATACAGATTTCCAAAAGTTGAACTACTCCTTTAACTCAATAACAAAACCCGGACTGGTTGTTTACCAGCTGCACAGAAAGTGATCACAGCCGTTTATGTGTCACACGTTTTCATTTATTCACATCTTTGTTCCCAGTGGAAAATATTTGATGACAACGTCTAACAACATAGAACTACACACTGACTGTACAATATGTGAGAAAACAAACTACAGGACATGAATGTTATGGTTTTCACGGCAGTGGTCTTCTGTTAGTATAAAAAGAAGTTCTTAGATTAAAAAAAAAAAAGATATTCTCACCATGCATTTTTTTAAAACACATTACGCCACCAACAAAGACAAATGGTTCTATAAACAATATTGACATAATACATTCTGATTGAAGGTTTAACAAAAGAAAGAAATGGAAATTCATCAAATAGTCTGCTCTAATGAATGATGAGTTAATTTCATTTTGTTCAAGCTTGGTCTTCTATGTGGATGTTTTTAACTCTATTTTTGATCATACTTTACTGAGATGAATGTGGTGAAAATCATTTTAATCTATAACCTACTGTTTTTTTTATAAGGCAGAAGATAGTTCCCGTTAAAATACACAGAGTTGTATTTCAGTAAAATCACATTGCCTCTTTTTTTCCCCCCATCTTTAAAACACAATAGGGTTCGAGCCCAGTGTGGTTGTGCAACATCTAGAAGTTCCTCGACACATTCTCATCTGCCTGTAAAATTCATCCAATCCAAGGCACATGGGAAAGTCATTGAAGAGTGCCATCGCTGTGTTCAGAGGTTACTTAAACATGAGGACACGTAGACGCCACCAAAACCAGAACATCGCCCAAGAAAGCAACAGCAGTTTGTGTCCAGCCTGTGTCTCCATGTGCTGCTGGCTGTACTTGTGTTCACTCTTCAGTGGATACTCATGTAGCTTCCATCCAGGTGAAAACTGCGCAGGCAGGAGGAAAAGTATACGTCAAATGTATTGCTGCTCGATTGCGGTGAAAACTAAGAATGCTTGAACTTTGTGGAAAAATCACCAGGGAGTTGGAAAATGGAAATGCAGTACAGTGAAAAGGCATGCGGCGTGACTTCTGCTCTGAGGAGTGAATAGAAACTTAAATTCTTTTTTCTTTAACATGCAAGCAGCTACAACGTAGGACGTTATAGATTCGAGTCTTGTTGCTTTCTTTTCAACGGTTGTTTTGTCGCTCAGCTGCAAAATCACCAACACAGTGACTGAAATGGTTTGCCGCAAACACACAAGTGAGAGAACTCCTCGGCAGATCAAAATATGAAAGTGACGAATCTTGGATAAGCTGCACTCATCACACGCACGAATGAAGAAGACGGACGTCAAAATGGAGATGAGTGGCAACACGACACAAAGCAGCGCGCTGCGTTCGCTCTCACCCTTAAGTGCTAGAGCGGTTGTCTGATGGTTCGTCTGCACTAGCGGCCCGAGAGCCAACCGCCGCAACTGACTCAGATTGTTTAGGCATTATGTCAGAGACTTTGCTTTCTGGAGGAGACCTGCATACATAAGCATTGGTCAAGTAATTAAGTCAAGCAATAAAGGAGGAAAGAGATGCGGTCCAGGCGGTTAGGTTATTCAAGTCACAATAGGTAAAAACCTCTTAGCAGGGAAATACAAAGTTATTATCCAGGGGAAGCCTGTACAGGAAACAGGAGTGGCACTGATATCCGTACACGCCCTACGGCATCGATGAGGAGTTAATCATCCACCAGCGTTCTAATCTAACGTTCCACTTACAATGAGACGGAGAGAAAAGCGTCTGTGGTTGACTCACTTCCTCTCGCATCCCGCAGCTCAGGGGGATGATTTAGTGAAGCGCAGCACTCACCTGGTGTGTGAGGGACTGCGGTTGCAGGGAGAGGCAGGCGCTCCGGGGTGCGTGCAGTGCGCCGCGTCGGGCGCGTCGTACTCGGTCAGGCCGACCGCCAGCTGGTTGCGCCAGTTCCCGGCGCTCTCCACCGAGGACACTGCAACCGGGACACAAACACGCGGCTGTTGTTGGCGTGTTGTTGAAAACACTCGCAATTGGAGATTAGCGTCACTACTGCAAAACAGACAGGTGCCCTTCGCATGATGGCAATGTGTTTTTATAGTGTGTTTTCTGCCACTTTACATTGAAACCTCACAATTGTGTGTTGGACCTAGACACTTTCATAAAATTGTTTTTCCCCTAAAATTTCTTTCAATCCCCTTCTCTAAATGCAAATGCAATTAATGCCATTGCCAAATCCAATACTATTAGCCATAAATAGTCAATTTCCTTGTTGAATATTTTGCCTATTTAAAACTGCTCATGGGCATCGACTCACCTGAGGAAAAGGACGTGGTTCTGCTGGAGTGGCTGAACGCCGCTGGCATGGTCTGGTAGCCCAGACTGAGCTGAGAGCCGCTGTCGAAGTCGTATCCAGCCAGCATCCCCCTGCCTCCCTCCCTGTGGCCCCTGCTGCGGTGGTACCACCCCTTTAGGTGCTCCGCCACCAGGGCCTTCTGCATGTTCTTGGCCAGCAGCTCGTTTCTGGGCCCCTCCCTGGTCCGCGGAGGCCTCATCGTCGCGTAGGGATTTTGGGAAAGACTGTCTGCCCGCTCGCTGCTGTAATTCCTGAATCTGTCATGTCCGTGATACCCATTTATTTGGTAGGAAGGGTTGACGTTGTAGTGGCCCTCTACGTCATTCTCATACCCGTAGGCACCGTTAGCGTAAGGCTCCATGTCCGGGCAGGGGTAGCCGGTGACGTAGTAGGCACTGGGCGTGTAGTGTGCTGAGTTCTCACACGAATAACTGCAACCAGAATGGTGCTGGACCAAGTTGGGCATACTCCCGGTGTTCCCGTACACCTCCACCTTCCTGTGGAGACGATGCATGGTTGAGGTCCGGGAGTCCAGCGTGCCGTAGTGGGAGTGGGCCGCCCCGCAGTAGTCGAGACTGGACTGGCTGGTGTAGGAGGAGCAGTCCTCTAACACCTCCGTGCTGTTGCTGCGGTGGGCCGGTGACAGGACAAAGACGGGCTTCTCCGAGTCGGCGTCCTTCCTCGGGCGAGGCTGCGCCTCCAGGCTTCCGCTGCGGTGCCTGAAGCCGTGAGGAGACCCCTCCGACCTGCAGAAGGGGCACAACTCAACTGTAAACTGCCTTCTAAAAGCGATGTGAAGGTAGCCGAGCAGATTGGGTTAAGGTGAAGAAGGTGCGTTGTTGGCCATGCAGCAGATCTCACCTGAGCTGACTGCTGCTGTAGGCGTTGCGGGTCATAACCGGGGTGGGAGGCATGCTGCGTGGATCCCTGGCAGGTCTGGGAAGGGTTTTATAGGGACTACTGTGGGTGGAGGAGACCTCTCTCGGGCTGTGGCAATAGTGGGAAGCATCCTGGCCTTCAAACGCTAATCTAAAAGGGTGTTGAGTGGATGAAGGAAAATATAAAAAATGAGGGAATGAAAGGAAAGGAATGAGCATGCATGACCGCCAAATTATTACATCATTTTTTCAAATAAATCAAGAGCTGTGAAAATAATTCACACCTCAAACTAGACGGATGAAGGAGATGTGTTTTCAAACCTGCTGTGGTTCTTGTTCTGGTGATCGTCCCTCGGGGGTCCTTGTCTCTCCGCCTCGTATTCTGCTCCCGGCGAGCGCATGGGACTCAGCTGAGGGGAGCCTTGCACCGATCGTGACCGCGGCCGCTGACTGACCCCGTCTGAGTCATCTAAACACAAAGGAAACCCATAGGAACAAAAAAATGACGCTTGCTCTTTCAAAAGATGTTATGATGATTCAGTGTCAGTTGAATTCAATGCACTGACTCACCGTCATCCAGCGGGAGACTTGACAAAGAGCTGCAGTCTGAACGGACAAGCTCATCTGAACAAAAGAAAAAAAATAACTCTGGTTTATTGCAATATATGAGATATATCTAAACGGTAACCCAGTAACAGAGATTGACATGCATCATACCGGCAATGATCACTGAGGCCCGCTGTGTGGGTTTTTTCCCCTTCTTGATCCGGTACTGGTTCATCTCGTCCTCTATCTGCTGGAGTTTCTGCATGGCATCCAAACAGTTCCGCCTCCTCTTCTTCTTGACAGTTTTGCACAGCTCTGCCTCATTCGCGAGCTTTTTTGCCGCCTCCACAATCTTTTTTTGCAGGGCAAATCTGCTCTCCAGGTTTCTCAAGAAGGGATCCTGCAGCAAAACACAAGTAGCACCATCCCCAGATATTATCTTATTGATCTATAATCAAGTGTTTTCCCTTCATTTGATTCGGTAATATACCCGTATGCACATTGTCTGTCAAAAATAGCCTTGTGGATTTGTTGGGAACTATCTTCAGCTGCAGATTGGTGCACCAGCCAGTATTTGAGTCACCGCAGGCCGATGTGGGACTGGCTCTCGCTCTCTTCTCTGCCCGTCCAAATATGTCTGGGTTTTTCCACCGGATCATTTTTTTTTTACTTTGTAGTTTAAGATAAACGATCCCTAACTTTAACAGCTCAACATCCAGGATGCTGTTTTAATGGCTATTGGAAAACAATGAAGCTGGTGGGGCACAAAGGAATCAGATACATCAGGTCTGGAATACACCCGTTAGTAGAGAGAGAAGTAGGTTTTTGTGGCGTTTGTGAAAAACATGTGAACTTTAAAGTGCATGGTACAAGAGTTAAACACAGACCTCGTTGTAAGGGAAGAGGTCGTCCAACTTGAACGTGGTGCCAACGCGCCGTCTGACTTGCGGCGGTCTTTCACCTGAAGAGAGGGGATACTCTTTTGGCAGCTTGCCGGTCAGCTCCTGAAAACACAAAACAAAACATCCATCTTAATAATGGAAGTTACCGCTGACTCAATGTTTGGAGAAAAAAAAAATACAATGCAAGACATAGTACCAGTCCACAGGAAGTGTAATTAAAAATATTTTCTCACCGCCTCTCTCAAGCAGATCTTCTTCAGTTCTTTTGTTTTCTTGGCCAAAATATCTTGGAGCTCAATCTCTTTTTTTCTCAGTTCAGAGAGTTTCTCTTTCTTCTGTTCTTCACTTATTTCAGAGTCGGCCGAACCTGTTCGAGAGAAGTTTTACTATTCATGCCAACATGCAGCAAGCATCTAAAAACAGCACACTGTGAGCTGGCGTTCCGCCGCAGAGCTTTTATCCTTCCTGGCACGCTCGGAGAAATCTGTGAGCGTTAATGTGATCTGAAATGAAAACTCAAGCTTCATGAACTGACATAATTATAACCAACCTGTGGACACCAGACTCCCATTGCTGGCTGTTATTAAGTTATTCTTCAGGCCTGCATCTCCCAATCTGTTTATCTTTGCTCCTCCGTGCTCCGTGAGGTCCATGGCAATTTCGTCCACACTTCTTGCTGTTCCTAATTTAGTCTAAAACAAATACACAAGAAATAATGTACAGCAAAAGATCAGTGGATGTTACCAAAGGCAAGTATTAAAAAGGATGTAGCTTGGTCTGACACTTACTTTGGTCTGCTTCCTGTCCAAGTAGAACTGGTGCTGGCTGATGGCCATGACCCAAATGGTTTTGATTAAAGAATGGCTGGCATACCACGTGTGGATGAGTAGGCCAGTCTGCCCAAAAGTCCTTTTGGTGACTGCTCTCCTGTTGCGAGATAAAAGAAACCCAAATAAATCATTGGTCTGGATTTACTTAATCACAATTTAAATAGAAATATTAGTGATATAAACAAACTCTTGGGATAAGTGCATAACAGGGCTTAAGAATCTGTGAGCAGCAGGAAAATAGACACAAAACAAATGAATTGACTTGTGTCCAGTTTACAAAGAAAGGTTTCTTGCTTCTCACCTGTGTGGATCGTTAACCTCTACGGCAAATTTCTTCTCCCGGAAGTACAAGTTTTCCAGCTGCTTCCACTGGTAAAGCTGTTGTAGAAATAAGGGAAATAGATATTCTGTTATCCACAAACAGCAATAACTGCTTCAAAATGTGTCCCTTTAGTCCATGTTCATTTCAACCATCTGTAATAATGCTGCCATGACTGACATCACTATTAGAAAATAAAAAAAACATTAGCAGAGTTATTTTGGTTAACCTGTCATTACGAAAAGCCAGACAGCAACATGAACTGTCATTAAAGTCTGCACCGCCCGGCGTGCAAAATCTGCAATAATGCAGGTGTTGGAAGGCTTAGAATGCCACAAGGGGACATTACACAAAGACTCATCGCAACACTTTCCACCGCCGTCCTCGTATCACCCAGGTGCTCACTGACCACAGCCAGGTATGAACAGTCTATTTGGGTCAGTGAATCACTGTGTGTCTGGACAAGATGCAGATGAGACAGCTCACCGTTATGGATCATAATGCTGGTACGTTCCTAACATAACAATGTAAATTTCCAATTTTCCACCCATTTTTACATCAAAATAATTACACGATTTCATGGATTGAAGTAATGTAAGATGTAAACATAATGTGCAAGAATGAAAGCCCAGTCTTGTACAGCTGTACGTCCAACCAGACAAAGAAGTGCAGTATCGGGTCTTACCGGTACACTCGATCTTCACAGGTCCTCCACAAGTTAGTAAATCCTCCCTGACTCTGCTCTCATAACAAACACATACTTTGTTCCTCCTCCTGTCAGCTCCTGACTTGTCTCCTCAGGTATTCTCAGAACATGTGTTATTACGCCCCCAAATCCAGCCCCTTTAACTTTGACATCACCAGCCCACTCCCTCTCCGCTCCAGCAGCACACCGCTGCCTGAACAGGGCCGGCCGCTTGCACAATTTTGGGCCGAGATGTGTTGCACCACGTTGAGCGATTACCAGGGAAGAGAACAGAAGAAGAGCGGTGCCCGTAAATGAGTGTGAATTGGTCTGAACTCCTCTTTGTATATCTAAGTCTCTACATGGTAAATGTAAAATGGTAGATGTCCCCCCCCCCCTCCTCCCATTAAATCACGCAGTAGAATGGCACTCATGAAACAAGAAAAGCAGGTTTGTTTCATATGTACATGATGATTGGTCACTAAACGCTACCCTGGAGACTGAGATTCTGCTCCAATTTGACAAGTCTGGCCCAGTCTGCTGCAGCAGCTGAAGCCCAGCCTTTGTTGGAGTAGAACAGATGATGCACGAATGTGAGCCGGTGAATCACCGCCGCTATGTGCAACACCGGCAACCCCTGTGGCATCAAGTTCACAGTCGAATCAGCGAAGCAGAGAAATAGCAGCGGCCATTTTAGACGGGGGAAAGGGAGGGGGGGCGGGGGTTACCTTTCGAGGTTTTAATTTATCCTGCAGGTCGTACTGGCCGATGCCCTTGTAGCTGATTCCGAGCCACCACGGGATCCCTTGTTTATCCTGTGAGGTCAGAACACAGCTGGTCAACTGGTGGTGGCCTCAGTTTCAGGCACTTTTCGGCATTTTCCATCGGTCACAGCAGAAGACCCACCTTCACTTCGTAATAATGCACGCCGTACGTGGGCAAAGATTCCACCAACGTCAAATACCTAGAACAGGAAGAAGGTTTTTATTAAAAACGTGGCATTTGGTTACATCTGCGTTTGGTTTACCTTGGAAATGTGAAAAGATAGAAATTCAACCCCGGCGACTGAGGAGGAGCTATTGATTTCTTTTAGAAGATGAGAGAAGGAGTGCCAGAGAGAGAGAGAGAGACGGGGGGGGGAGGTGCAGGGCTAATAGAGGTGAGAGGAAGATTAATGTAACTGTAGCTTAATAGCATTCATCGGCTAATCACAAGTGTTGAACCGTTTACTTCAATACTTACTGCACGATAGCTTGTCCTCGAGAGACTCCTTTCAGCTGTTTGTAGTGTTCAATCACTCGGTCCTCGCTGCCATGTCAAACAAAGAAGACACCTTTTTATGCTTTAAACTGAATCGTACAGCATCAGATCAAACCACTCTGTAGAGATGTGTTTTACCTGCATTCACAAACGCAATAAAAGGGTTGAATATTGTATTTTTGAGGCATTTGTGTCAGCAGTATCTAAGAAAAAAAGCTTCGCATTAAGCGTACCAGTATGCAAATGATGGGTGTTCCTTGAGCACTTTGGTAGGAAGAGTTGGTAGTTTCTTCAAGTCGGCTCTTGTGTTTTCATCACTGAAACAGAAACAACAAACCGTCTCCACTTAACTGCCAACTGTGTGGTTCTATTATTTTGTTAAGTACGTTAAGCATCAGTGGTCAAGCAAAGTAATTGTCGTCTCTAAGTACAATTTTGAAGTACTTTCATGTTTCAAAGGTTCCTCAACTTTATAGTTTTATTGAACAACATTTGAAAAGAAAAGTGGACACTTTCCCTCAAGTACTTTTTTCTGACAGCAGAGGTGAGTTTATTTTTGCTCAGAGTAACTGAGTAGTTCAAATCAGCTCTCCCTCAAACAGCTGCATTAAAAGGCCCATTCGGCAGAAGGACCACTTGTACTGTTTGATACTATGCGCATTGTGTTGAAAATAATGGATATTTTCATTCAGATTGTACTCCCGAAGTTACTTAAATGCCCCTAAAATCACAAAAGAAACACCTGACCTCAGTGTCCAGACTGACGGTCACAACCCCGGCAGGCATCGTAAAAAGAAAAAGACTTGAACAAAGACGTCAGTATTCCCAAACCGTCTTACTTCATCAGCTGGTCAAAGCCAGGTGGCGACCTGCACAAAGCCCGGCAGTATCCCTTTTGCATAACATCATAAGCAAGAGAAGAGTTGCTGTCTAAGGTGTCTCTGCTCTGCAATACTTGGCTTCCATCAGCACTGTGAGACTCATTAGTTGCATGGCGGCAGCTCCGCGGCACTCCGTGGTAAACCTCACATAACGCTGCCATAGATTTTTCTTCTGACCTTCCGAGGGCCTCTGCTTAAAGCTCACCATTAACGTCTCGTGCTGCTGTTTAAATACCTCTAACCCAGCCGATGGAATGCACTTACCTTGTGTAGTCTCCCTTCGCCGCCTGGTGATAAAAAATAAAAAAAATTAAAACATGTTATGAGATGACATACTTTAAAGGGATTTGAGATGCGGTTCTGTTCATGTTCTGTGCGCATGGGCGGATTAAAAAGGACTAACCTGCAGAGCATTTGCAGCTAATTTGAAGACATTCTCACTTTCCACTTCGATGAACCCCTGAGGGACCAAAAAAAAAGATCAATATAAGAGAGAAAAAAAGATCAATATAAGAAGTAAATGAGCACTATGTAGAAAATGTGTCCACGTGGAGCAGAACATCTGTCCCTCCCACACACACACACACACACACACACACACACACACACACACACACACACACACACACCAATAACCTCTGCTTAGTCTCTGGATGTACCCTTATCTTCAGTTTACTTTACATTCCAGCCAGCAGAGTGGGAAGAAATGTTCCCTGCGGCCATTGTCTGCCGAGCTGCAGGCGGTCCAGAGACAGTGAATCATCGGGGAGCCGATGAGAACAAAAACAACCAGCCGGATCGTTTTCCGCGGCTTCGAAAACAGGAGGAAAAAAAACACTTACGTTGTAGACAGCAGACTTTGCGTTGAGGAAGAATAACTCCACGGTGATGATGTCCTTGAGCTGTGTAATGTTTTCTACATAAAACCTGTGGAGGATAAAAAGCAAGTGTACACACAATCATTCAAAGGTTAAACAGCAGTCAGGATAGGAGATGTTTTGTTCACAGCTGACCACTATGTATTATAGGTTTTACCTGACCAGGAAGTTTAGGGCAACGGGCCCGGACTTCTTCAAAAAGTCGTGGTCGAGAACTCTGCGGTCCGTCTGCAGCCACTTACGCTGACCGCTGCAGAAGCAAAGCATTTTTCAACAGCATATTTCAAACATTGATGTGTGGACATCTGGAATAGTTCAAAGCACTGTAAAAAGATGAAGATGTTCAATTCACATACTGCTCATCAAAAAACGCCAGTCCAAAGAACTCCTTCTCCTTGAGGTTGAAGTGGGAAGAAACCAAGTCCAGGAGTTCGTAGGACAGCAGCTTTGGCTTCGGGAGAAGGTTTGGATTTAGTCGTCGACATCAGATCAGGCACATTAGGCAAACACGTGTTGTGAAATATCTGCTAACCGGGTCACAGATCCTAAAATAAATAATTGACTTCCCTCCGAAGAGAGGCAATGCTGAAAGATCAATTACAGCGCGGAGGGTAACAGGAGTAAGTGACTATACGGCGCTGTGCTCAAGGACACTTCAGCAGCCAACACACTCAGGGACTCATTGCTTGTTCCGTAGTCATTTGATTGATTACTTCTCATAGTAACATAGATTACAGCAGCTTCACATTGGCTGCAGTCACACCTGAACCAGCAGCTCCAGCTTCCTGTCATCCAGCAGATGCACTTGGCACAGTCTGCCCTCGGCCATCTGCAGGGAGAGGAAGAGAGGAAGTGCAAAGTTAGCGACACAGATAACCAGCTGCTCATCACGACGAGGCGCAATGACAACGGGTTGTGCTTTGGGGATGTTGTTTACAGCTGTTACCTACAGCACACGTAAGGCCGGGTAATAAGGGCTTGTAACACTGAAGTATCTAAAGAGTCTTAGAGATCCTTACCGAGCGAACGCCTTAGAAAAAAAAAAAGATCGACGTCGTCCACAATAAAACCATTGTTTCAAAGATTTGTTGCCGTAGCAACCGAAGGAAGGCCTTGCACCATTTTGAACCGTTCACATTTAACTTTTGCCATTTCATTCTCTCGGTTTTTCCAACATTTAAGAAATATCCAGTGGTGGAATGAATGAATATAATTGAATTACACCCAGTACTCGTACTACTACTTTCTACTACACTACAGTCCAGGAGGAAATATACTTTTACTCTACTACTTGTATTTGACAGCTAGTTGCAAGTAAGATTTTTCCCATAAAACACATGAATAGTACATACAATATAATGCGTTTCTACAGATTCACAAACCCAACTATATACAAAGTAATTACAACAATTTTCACCTCCACCAGCAACAACATTAAGAAGCTGTTCAGACATCAATGCAACAATAATTGTAATAGTCGGTGAACAGAAAATGTTGTTTGTTAGTGGTGATTTCTTTAGATCACAAACAACGATTCTCATCACAGAATCAGCTCGAAGAAGACACACAGAGGTCGCCGGATGCTCGATAAATCAAACGCTGTAGCTGGTAAAAAAACAGGTTCACAAACTGAAACATAATCTGAAATATTTTCCAGGCGGTTTCAACATCCTTCCCCGCTGACAGAATGAGGCTGACTCCTAACCGGTTACCTGGTAAACCTCCCCGGGGAGGGTGCAGGTGTGGATGCATCCCTGACCAGACCTCATCCCTGAGAAACAAGAGTCTCCCGTCGGATCCGAACCGTGAGACCGCGAGCAGCAACGGACGGTCTGGATTAACCGGCAAACTTGTTCCCTGCGGGGTTTATTGACTGAGCGGCGCTGAAGTAGCTGCGTGCAGAGACGGCTCACGCGGTGTAGCCAGTTAATGAGAAAGCAGCAGCTGACTGGAGGCCGGGTCAGAATCCCGTCCACGGTCTGCGGCTGGACTTCTTAATGTGAACAGCGGAAAACAGGAGTAGTCTTTGTGGTCTGCTGACTTCACCGAGACATGGTAGATGCTTATTTAACTTGTGTGCGCTTCTGTGGCTGAATAGATTTCAATCTGGATATCAGGTTTCTCCTTTTCATGTACTTTGACTGAGTGATTTCATAAAGGAGGTACTAAACACCTCCCAAAGGCTTTACTTTATATAGACTCTATTCTTTTCCTCACACTGCTGCACTAACAAACGATGGAATGCCATGTTTCCTGAAGGGGACGGGACACACCCGGTCACTTCTTTTAATTACACCATCTGTAATGTTTTAAGGAGCACTCTGTCGATTACAGCCTGCAAACAACGTTGTCTGTCTCCTGAATTCTCTTTCACAATCTAAATCAAAATGCACATTCAATGAATACAATTCATCTGGAGGGTGGCTGCTCGAGACATTATTACACTGGTTACAGCTTTGATTTATTTATGACTGATGGGGTCACACAGGCCCCATCATGACGCTATAGCGTGTACAGTAAATATTTTGGCCACTAGATGGTGCAGGAATTAGCACTTTTCTCTGTGGTGAAGTTATTGATGTGGAGAAAATGGCCTCTTAAAACAAGCATGAGCTGCTGAGGAATTTTCATAGGCAGTTGTTAGCTCAGCAGACGAGAGTCCAATGCAGCTGGGAGGACTTGCACTTATGCAATATAGATGAAGTGAGTGTGAGGAAGAGCAGTGAGTTTAGGGAATCTACACTATTAATCATCTGCAGCCATGATCACCACTAGAGCTGCTATTTATATCTGACTGAGCAAGCCGAAGATCCCGGCTGACCGAGCGCTTTCTCTGTCACAACACAGATGTCGTGACAATATCCTGGAAACACAACTTGACATCTTCAAATAATCGCTTTAGTCAGTCCAACTGTAAATAAAAAAACAAAGATAACAAGTTTAAACTCACATATGAAAAAGAAAAGTTCTCAAAGTGGATGAGCTTGAACTTCAAACGCGGCCTGAAGTTCCTGATTCATTGTTTTTGCTGATCGATTAATCAACTAATTAACTAATTGCAGCTTTAAAAACGATTGCTACAAATCTAAATATTCACTAATCATCTCCTGATGTACTTTTACTCCCCAAAGCACAGCAGACAGCGCTGTTTAATCAACCAAACACAACCTATTCAACCTGAATAAAAGGCCAGCCGTGGGTCCTGTGGGGTTAAGACAAGCACCGAACCTCCATGTGAAAAAAAAAACAAAAAAAAGAAGAGATGAAAGAACTGTCAGTCTTTGTGTTTGTCTCTCCAGAGACGCTGCAGGGTGCGTGGCTGGCTCCAGTCTGCAGCCCGAGGTTGGCATGTAGACAGACTGTTGCAGCGTGCTACAGCAGAGAAAAGAAAAAAAAGAACAACAGCGTTCATCACAACGAGACGTGACCTGGTAAGATGTGCAAATACGAGGCCCTCTGACATCGAGCAAACGACCAGAATTAACGTTGTATCGAGCTCAAGACTCGTCCAAAGAGCAGACAGGAGGATTTCTCTACCTGCTGAGTAACCCGGCTGTTTAATACGTCCCGCTGCTTAAATGTCATGTCCAGACTGCAGCCTGTCTTATCTCAGTTTCCTGTTTTCATGCATTATTGATGAAGGCTGATATCACACACAAGTCACTGTGCTATTTATGCTTACACGCTTTTTGGAAGACACCCACTGCAATCCGACAAAGCCAGAAATGGTCGTTGTTTAAGAACTCAAACCATTTTGACTTTGATTTTTACACCCGTACAACACTTAAGTAACTATAGTGACATTGGTCTATTAGGACAAAAATAAGAAGCTAAAAATAAATCAAAATAAAATGTATTTTCTCTTCAAAAGTAATCTGACAGAAAGCTTAATTAGCAGGAGCGTTGGCAATGTAAGAAATAATAAAATCCACTAAAGCCCAAAACCGCTCAGATCAGCGAGTACAGAATAAGATGCATTTCAGAGGCTGTGGGCTGAAGGATGAAGATTATCTGAAGCCTCATCTGATATCTCATCATGACTCATGTTATCAGCGGTCAAAAGGTATCCGTGTAGCATCATCTCCCAGCGACAACCAGCCGGGCAGTTTGTGATATGCGGGAAATATCACGAACAATGAGGCTCAGGATATTATGGAGAAATCGGGAAGAAACATCTTCTTTTTTTTTCTTTTTTTTTGATAGCTCAACACCTTTGCGATGCAAGGGCGGGTCGCATCGCCCAGGAGTGATTCATGCGAATGATGTCATCGCGCAGTACAAGTTCAAAAGGACGTCTGCGAAAGCGGTAGGACATTGTGATGAATTTCGTCCCAATGTCTGTGGCTGTGCTGCGACTGCAAGAAGCGTCATCAGACGACTATATTTTATTAGAGGCCACGGTGACAGCAGTGGTCAAATCTGCTTACATTCTGTCAGATTGTTACAGATTGCTACAAGTGGAAAAGCCTAAATATCCTAGTCAGCTTCAGAAGGGCGGGGCGATGAGGCCCAAATCTCGTGTCCCAATATGTCAAGCCATATGTTGATAACAATATACTGTTTAATACGGTAAAGCAATTTTCTGATAACTCTATTGATAATAATACATTTGTAAATATGTCCAGCTTTAAAATGCATGTCCTTAAAGTAATGAAAATGGTTGGATACTATCAGGATTTTACCATCAGCAAAATTCTTATGAATTCAGATTTTCAACATTCAAGTTAGTATTTTCCTGAACAAAATGGACAAAGACAAGAGGCTACAGGGTTTTTTCCATGGACTTATACATTCATGGGACTCGGGCCCATATGTTGTCATTATTCTCTGTGCAAAGTCTACACTTCAGATGGAAGGGCGGCCTGCAAAAGCTCTTGGAGTTTCCAAACTGAGTTAAACGTGTTCATCATATGGGGAACATTATTCACATTTATTCATTTGTTGGGATGTCTTTTGCGTAGAATTCCATGTTGATAAATATTTCCCCCAATCCGAATTACGTGTTCTTTGGATCAGTCACTTTTATTGATCCTACCCAACAGTGCAGATACTCGGGTAAACCCCAAAAGTGTCAAACGCCAATATGTCAGCGCAGAATTGCAGTTGCTTCGGGCTTCACAGCGATTCCCACTGGCTCTCCTGATATGACAAAACTGTGGAGTTTCATTACAGCAAACTGCAGTGACTTTCTGCAGTACTGGGGGACGGAGCACTGAGCCACAGACGTACGTGGAGGAAAATGATGGACGCTATGCATTGTCTTTACCTTGACGGGAGGCCTGTGCAGCGGCAGTGTTACATGTATGTTAAAGACAGATTAATCCATGTTGAAGTTGACTTTTGCCGGACGTGCGTAAGATTAAGTTCTTCAGTGATGCTGCTTGCCTTTCGCCTTATCATATGCATCGTGTTCATTCGCTCGGCGTACAGCACGGAAGGATGATTGCTCGCCTGTCCAAAAATAGATATCTCCCCCTCTGTGTGTTTAGCACATTTCTCAGAAAGTCTCGGCAGGCTTTGATTTTTAAGTGAACGGTTGCCAACCGAGTGCTTAGACATTTCTCTGCAACTTCAAACACCTGCCTCTTTAGGCCCTCAAACTGTGAGGACAACTGAGGACGGCCATGAGAAAATATATTCAATTGTGTGCTGGGGTTTGGATCCTGTCGAGAGGTAACCACAAAGCGTTAGTTGGATGACCCTTTAAAATAGGTCGAAATCTGGAATTGGGCCCAAAAGGTGGACGGGCGTGATAAATGGCACAGGACATCCTCTCCAACAAATAAGAGCAACAAAGTTTCACACGGCAAGTGTGTCACCATCACAGCGGCAATTCCTGTTTACGATGCCTGATGCTTTAAAAACGCACATACACACTCGCACACAGGCCACTTCCTTCAACTCTGAGATAGCTCAGCAGGTCAGCGTCAATCTCTGCAGGGCTCATCCTTGTTTTTACCGCTGTAGTAAAAATAAATACCCAGAACAATACATTTTGAATTGTAGCGAGGAGGAGGAGGAGGAGGAGGCCTAAACCAAAACTATAACAACTAATGTCCTTGTAATGAATTACTATTAAATGCTCGGCCCATATCAGCAGTTGTCACCATAGCGACAAATCACAAACACTTCTCAATAGAAAATGATAACTATGCAGAAAAACCCTCCCATAAAAATGAGGCGATGCCTTGGACTTCTTTTCTCTACCATAAATGCAATATACAGCCTGCCTCTAGATCTAATAGCGTTTACACTTCACCTCTCCCTTTTTTTTCATCTAACGACATCATCTTATATCCACTACAAACAGTATAGACAATATAGTGCAGGGCATCTTCTAATGAGACTACAGCCCACCTCGGGGCCAGTGGCCACTATGCAGGGAGAACAATGAATGTGCCACCAGGAGCTCCTGTGGATGGGTGGTTTCCACCTGAGCAGCGTGTGTCAAATAAAATTAAAAAAAAGCTCAGCCCTCCTCGTATAACCGAGGAAACCGAAGGAGAGCCGAACCCATGCCGGTTACGTTTCCATTGATGCTCACACGCGCCCGCTGCCTCCGTCTACTTTGTCTCCCCGCAGCCCCGTTAAGGCGGGGTTCGCACTCTCCTCCATCACGCCGGACGCCGCCTCACCTTCGATCTGCTTATGTCCCGCGCAGGTATTGATGAGGTACCGCTTGCCCGTGCACACCGATCACCGCCCCGCTCAGCATTCTCCCCGGTCGCTTCTGCCAGCGAGGGGAGCCGCCGTGCAGCCGCCGTCCGCGTTCATCCTCCCGGCGGCTCTGTAGCGCACACGCCGGCCTCGCATTGAGCCACACTCACCACGCCTTCACCCGCCGGCTATTATGCGAGAGCGAGCCCGGCGTCCCTCCCTCCCTCCCTCTCTCCCTCCCTCCCTGCGCCTCTTACCAGCAGCTGCCGGTCGGCCTGAATCACTCTGAAGCCTTTGTAACACACACACACACACACACACACACACACACACACACACACACACACACACACACACACACACACACACACACACACACACGCATATTGGATTTGATGGTTTTAATTTGTCTTATGACAGTGTTTAAGGCAAAACATTTGTCCCCTGTTTATTCTGACCTTATCTCATTAGGTCAACAATCTACATATATAGGGAGGGGGGGTGGCACGCATGATGTCTGCACTCATATTGTTATTAATATGCGATTTATTGAGCCCTTATTGTATCATGTAACATCCGTTTATTGCTTACTTGGATTCTCATTAGTTATTTCTGTCACAGCAGCTACTCTTAGGAAGCGATTACAACGTCCCCATATTACACCCGACGCAATGAAATGATATCAACACCAGACATTTGAAGGGCAGCTACAATGAGCCTAAACAATACATTACATGTGGTTATAACTTGTTACTACAAAATGCCATTTGGCGTATTTCCTTGTTTAGGGAGTAAAGACTGTTCAAGAGGGACAGATAAATAAACTGTGAGACGTAACAATCACAGGGTAAAGGTAACACGGCTGGAACAAACATAACATACATGTAATGTTTTCAGGTTTATATATTTTAGAGATTCATACTGAAAATGACAGTGTGAGAGTCTTCAAGTTGTTGTTTTCTTTTCTTTATATGATGTTTCTGTCTTTTTGTAAATAAGACTGAAGGGAGTTCCTGACAAGCCAGCGAACAGGTCTGTTATGTTTGTTTTAGTCTTCTTGGATGCGCCGTATTTTCACAAGGGCTTTTTCCCTACATACATTGAACCCTGGCAATGAAACAGGAAATTAATGTTTCAGTAATGTTTCAGAACATTAGTCAACTGACAAAGGCCAGGAAACAGTAACCGTTTTATTATTTTACCACATTGCGTTTGACCATCGTCTCCAGCTGCGAGACACGACTGTAGACTGACAATGAGCGACTAATTAACCAATGTCATCTTCTTGACTCGGAGGTCGGTTTTCAGCAGGACGAATCAACAAAACTCACCGTCATATTGAGAAGGACTTAACCGAGGGAACCTGAGTTGAACCAACGTTGAACTGAAATCAGCATTCCGCATTGCAACGAACGTTTTGATGTTGTTCAAAAGCCAAAAACTGTTAAAAATACCTCTGTTGGCCTCATGTTGTGCAGACAACATATTCTGAGCAATTTGAAATATCCGCCTTCTGACTGATATTTCATGATTCGGGGATTTACACAGTCTGCAAACATCTTTACGTGTGCAAATCTTCGCACAGAATACCTGTTATTGAGACTATCGGTGTGTGTTTCACACGTGATATTCATTTCAGCTCGGACGCTGCCTCTGAAATATTCATTACTGTCTTTATTCTTTACCCGGCCGAGCATGTTCCAAAGAAGCCGGCACGGCGGCCTTACACAAGTCCTCCACACCTCGTTTCATTCTGTTGCACAAATAAATATTGAGAAACCGTATAATACACACTCAGACAGACAGCATCTACCCAATAAAATGCCTGGATAATGTAAGAATTGCTACTGTTAGTCCTCACAGAAGAGAGGCTTCCCCTGCCTGACTGCCCCCCCTCCCTAACTGCCCCCTTCGCTTGTAGATTTCTGACATCAGACATGAATAAGTATCTCATTAAGATCCCCCAAAACCATCTGTCCTCCTTGGAAGAAAATCTTCTCATAAACAAAAGAGAGGGATTCCCCTCATTAGTAATTTAATCATATAATCAATGGCAACGTTTAATGTATTCATGGAGCACATCTAACCCAGTGTTGGTTGTTCTAACCGGAATGTAAGACGCTCACATGCAAAGAAAAGCTTTTGCGGCACATTTTACAATACAAGCTCTAAAGTCAACGAGCATGTTTGTGCTTTTAAAATTACAGCTTGCTTTTTATTTTCATGGCCTTTTATTCTTTTTTGTCTGTCTGCTATGTCTTCATCGATTTGTATTAAAAAGCACGACGACTGATGCGTGCAAGACAATTATGTAATTAGACCTGTGTATATATTATTGTTTGCCAGAACTAAATCATGTATCCAAAAGTTGTGAAAAGGAGGGTATAAATAACATGGACAGTTTTGGACATGTTGTGTACCATAACTAAGCTTTGTAAGAATTTCAGGTTTAACTTTTCACAAACAATTACAAATAAAGCATCATTATTCTACCTTACACAAGTATGTTATACATCTAAAATTCCCCAAGAGAAACAAAGGTAAGAATCAGGTGAAACCCCTGATTCATTTCCCCTTCTGGTCATTTGTTACTGGGTGAGATTCCTGTTGCTTTGTCAGCTTTCAAATGGTCCAAACTGATTAGCAGACATCAGTAAGCGTGAAACAACCGCGCTCCTCTTCCTCGTAACCCCCGGCTCTTGTTTTGACGGCAGCATGCGGGAAGCGCTTTGTGGCTCCCGCGAACACAACAAGATGGAGACGAGGACGGATCACGCTACTCTCTGCTGCTGTCCGCCCAAATCACACTCTCAGCCGGCCGGTGTTTGTACCGGTGGCAGGTGCTTATTAAGTTTGCACAAACAATGCCGTGTCCCCGTTGGCCGCGACGCCACCGCGTGTCCAGCATGTCTCGTGGCACATGGACACCATGAGTACACCTCGGACATTTGCTGTCCGTTTTTTTTAACACCGTTTCAGCCTTCAAGTATCGGTGTTGTGACGGCAGAGTGATGGGTGTGGAAGCAGGACGAGGTTAGAAGTGATTGCACATATGGGCCTTGATCCATCGTCACAAAGGTAACCCGGTGAATTTCTGGGCCTTATTCACACTTCAGTCCAATCCAATTTGGGAGAATGTAGCAGCAACATAATACTGGGCGAAGTTTAGCTCCCAACAAAGCCAACAGAGTGGGTATGTTTTATTTTATTGTTACGGTTATTCCGACTTTTAGACACAACAAGGTCAAGTTTGACCTTAAAAACGATCGACTGTCAGTTGTTAAAAACAAAGTGCACCTGTGTTTTTTCTTTTTTCTTTATCTTTACAACAAACAGTGCCATGCAAGTTTTAACAGAACTAGAGTACAACAGGTCTCCACCAAACCATATTTCAGTTTGGATAAATAACCCACATGGGGACAAATAATAACGCCGGACCAAAACAACCAATTGTCGTTTATCGATCAAATAATCCTTCAAAGACGGAACCATTTGAGCCCAAGTATCAAATATTTGTACACACTTGAGGAATTACAAAGGGCATTGTAGTCTATGAACTCTGGGGGGGGGGGCTCCCTCAGCTGGGGGCCCTTTGTAATCAGGGCCACTGCTCACCCCACAACAACACCCAGAAAAAAACGTGTTGTCTGGTCTATTGTGCGTCTGTCTCCGTCCTCTTTGCCTGCACGGGAAGCCCTGCCGGTCCCTCGCATCACGTCTCCTCTCCTGACTGTAACTCGCCTCCCATTCGCCTCTGGGCTTTTGTAACAAAATAAATTCCGTCTCCTATTCTGGTTCATCACCGTGGCATTTAAGCAATTTTTTCCCCCCCCGGCAAACTTACATTTTGCATGGTATTTGCCTCAGTGAAACGCAGACCTAAACCGGTCGAGCAGGATGAGGGCAATGCAAATGTTGAACTTAAATTTACATTTTGTAATAGAAAGAAAGTCCCCCCCTCCCCCTCCGGTGGGCCCACAGCACCGGCTTCCCCGGCTGGATGCTGCCCCCTGGTGGCGGATGAGAGTCCAGCCAGTTGCACTGAAAGAGGAGCGACGACCTGAGCGGGAGGACGAGGTCAGACTGTCGGCGCAGGAAACGGAGGGAAACAGAGACGCGAGGGTCGACCAAGCCGAGGCAGGTTTGTTAGGATCATTGAACTTCCGGGGTGACGAGATAAATGCAGAAGTGAATGCAAGATGGCAAAGTGAAACATTTTTTTTTATCACCTGTGACAGCAGCAAGGTGAGTTTATACATAGTGAGAATTATAACAACGGACTATTTCTTGATTTTATTTTTTCTCCCTCTTATGTGCTTTCCAATTTTAGTGGAAATGTGGAGCAATGCACGGTGTGGTTCACCTATCACAGACACATATCTACAACTGTAGTATTTCGGTGTAGAGTGATTATTGTCCGTAAAGGCAATAACGCCTCGCGCCGTCAGATTCTCTCGCTTTCCGTATCGTTGGAATGAAAAGGAGTGAAGATGACAGGCTGTTCGTTCTGGATAATAATCATTATCACCGGAGGAAATTAAACCTGTGCGAGGAGAATCCTCCCCCTCCCCGGCCGCGTGTCGCAGCCAATGAAACCCACGCTGGCATTGACAGCCGAGGTGCATGCCGGTAGCTGTAGTCGTAGCTCCGGGTCCCTTCACAGCGGTTAATACCGAGCGGAGTGCAGCGGCACGAATATCGTCCGTCCGGGTCTCTTTTTTTTAAATTCATTCATATTAAGGGGCTGCGCGTCTCCCCCCCGCAAGCGTTGACCCGTCTAAATATGCAGGCCGAATCGGGAATAGTTCCTGACTTCGAGGTCGGAGAGGAGTTTCAAGAGGAACCTAAAACGTATTACGAACTGAAGAGTCAACCCCTGAAAAACAGGTCAGTTGTTCGGCCGCGCGCGGTTATTTCCCCGCGTACCCCGAGCGGCTTTTCGTCATTATTGTTATTATTATTATTGTAAAGTCGTTGGTGAAGCTGATTCTGGGCTGCGGACTTTTTTTTTGCCCCTGCGTTGTCGTGCGCGGGTCCGTGCGCGGGCGAGGCTCTCCGTGCAGATGTTGTGGTCCCCAGCTGCGCGGGCTCGCGTAGCCGAATTCAAAGTGCCCTCTCGTTCCTCCCGCTGTTCTCCTGCTGGCATGAAGTTATGCAACGCTTGGGTGTCGCCTCGTCAACACC